GCTGTACTCTGGCCTGGCGTTCCGCATGTTGATTGACTTGGGCATGCATGTCGACTTGACGAGTACACGCCGGTTCTCAGATGAGGATTTAGAAATCCGACGACGGGTCTTTTGGGGTGCGTTTGGTAAGAAAGCTCTGCATCTTAAGTGCACATCTGACTAAACCCACCGGCTGACCGAATACCAACCACAAAATTGTAGTTGTGGATAAGATCCAGAGTCTGTATCAAGGCCGTCCCGTTAGCTTGAAAGAGACAGACGCCCTTGTCCCAATCAAATTTTTGGACACCTACGAGGAGCTCGAGCATTGGCAGCCGTTTGCCTACTCAACCTCAGCACCTGACTACCCGGGCATGCCGGCGTATAGCATATCTACTTTCACATATCTGTGCAAACTCTCACTCACTATGAGCGACATTCTCAGCTGCATATATACTGAGCGCAGTTCTAATCAAAGTCCAGCCGAGCTGGCAAGTATGCTAGACGAACTACAGCTCAGATTGGACCAGTGGCAGGTAGGATTGCCAGAACATCTGCGGTTTGATCCAGGGAAAGCTCACAGCGTGGCATTCCCACCCCCTCATGTGTCCAGCCTCCAGTATGTCTGCCCGACGTTCTGTAGAATCCCATTCCGCTGAACTGACTTTTGACAGCGCTATGCATAATTCACTTGTCATTCTGCTCCACCGTCCCTTTGTAGCGGACGGCCATCTGTACAGCACATCTCCGTCGATATCGGTCGATTCGTTCAAGAAGTGCGCCTCGGCGGCAACAAACATCAGCAATCTCCTGCGTGCTTATCATCGCGCATTCTCTATCAGACGAGCACCCTACCTCATATCATATGCAACATACGTTGCTGCCACGGTTTTGACTCGAATCGCAGCTAGACGTAGGAATGACTCGACGGCACATGCCAACCTAGCGACCTGTCTAGCCGTATTCAATGAGAATCAAGAGACGAATTCAGCGGTGAAAAAAGCGGCTAATATTGTACAAGGCCTGATGAAAAAGCTTGGGGTCATCATTGACAATGTCTCACTTGAAGCTTTGGAAATAGACCCGCCGATCAGATGCTCCGAGCGAGACCTACAGCCCAGCCATGGTGCTACTGAGGGCGATGCCGGCGTCCAGGCGAGCTCCGGGAACGAAATCCAGAATAGCCTGGCCATCGGAAACGTGACGGGACTTTCAAATAACAAATCTCTTGACCATCCGACAACAAGCTCTCCTGGATCGGACTGGGTAGATATAGATGGAATCATTCAGAGCTTTCTGCAAGAGAATAGCAGTCGCGGAGCAAGACTAGTAGAGTACGAGACCAACGGAACACCTACTCAGCTGCCTAGAACACCGTGGATGCCGCTGCATCAAGGAGACATTCCTGCGTCAGTGATGATGGACAATGCGCGTACCGTCGGAAACCAGGCTTCTCTCCGTTCAGATATTGATGTCCCTAATGGTGCGCATCGAACGGAGACAGCTGGCGGAACGTATCAGTGGCAACATGGCTGGAGACCGACAAACTGGGAGCCTACATCTTTAGAGGATCCACTTTTTGGATTGAACGGTTCGTCGATCGATAACTTCCCATTCACAGATTGGTGAATGCCGTCCTCCGGTTTCCCGTGGAAGAAACGGTCTCATGCGCTGTCACTACATTGGCATAAATGCAACTCCCGTCTAGCCGTTTCTCCCGCGGGAACATCCATCCCGTTGGATGTGGGGTCCTCACAAAAGTCGTGAACCTACCCGTCGCTACATTTCGAATACCCTTTCACAATGTTTTCGGAAGATCCCTTTCGGCTGAAATTATATTATAATTCAAGATTGAAATCTTACTGCAATTGGAAATGGCATCCTATATAGTCCCTCTATACGCCACGGCTCACCCGATGACCCAGTTAGTGCCGAGAGTTCACCCAACAAGCACTTCGATACCACTCCCAAGACGACTTCAGTAATCTCTCAGCTCATATTTTTGTTGGTACTACCTTCAAAGAGTCTTAGGATACCTATAGCTGCCAGCCCCTAATATCGCAGATATGGCTACTGAGCTAGTCACCAAGACGCGGCACCTTAGGCGCCACGCTCTGCCATGTGTTCTCATGCGCGCGGGCACCTCCAAAGGAATATTCCTACACCAAAAGGATATGCCAACAAAACAGGTTGACTGGGCTCCTCACTTAATCTCTGCTCTCGGATCTCGAGGGAACGACCCTCGGCAGATTGACGGCGTTGGCGGCGGGACATCGACGACATCCAAAGTTGCCGTCGTTCAGCGCTCGCAAAGACCGGACGCCGATGTCGATTGGACCTTTGTCCAAGTTGCTGTAGGCAAAGAGTCGGTGGACTTTACCGGCACTTGTGGCAACATGACTGCGGGTGTGGCACCGTTTGCCATCCAGGAAGGTCTTGTCACGCCGGAGCCGGATCAGAGCAAGGTATGTTTTGTCTTTCAGGCAGGACTTCAGACAAGACCGGCACACTTCAGGTAGTTAACTTTCAATCAATAGATGGATGTCAGAATCTACAACACAAATACGGATCGAATAGTTATCGAAACCGTCGCGGTCGACGGATCAGGAGATTATGAGGAGGATGGGAACTTTATCATTCCTGGAGTCAAAACACCTGGGAGCGAAGTCAAGTGCACCTTTGTCAACCCCGTGGGCAGTATGACTGGGAAGCTTTTCCCTTCGGATGACCAGCAACAGCAGACACTCCGCGTGCAACCTGGGTCACTCATGCCCAGCCTGGAGCCCTTCGACGTTCGTGTAACCCTGATCGATTCGGCGAACCCGTTTGTCCTCATTGATACGACATCGATATCACCAACCCTCCTCGGGACATATCCATCCGACTCTGATCGAAATGATCTTGTAGAAACCATCCGCCGCGCTGGCGCAGTGGCGATGGGGCTAGCAACAGACGCTGAAGCCGCCAGTAGGACCCGCGGGACACCCAAGGCTGCACTCGTGTACCCCCCGACTTTTACCCAAGTCGGCGGTGGCAAGGATAGTCGGCCAGATATTCGCGTACAGGCGTACTCCATGGGGTTACCGCATCCGAGTCTACAGCTCACCGGGGCGGTGACAATCGCCGTTGCACTGAGCTACCCTGGCACCGTCGCGGCGGGCCTCTCCGCTATGGGTGCTATCATGCATGGGGCGTTGCCGCCGACTCCCGAACAGTCGCCGCCACCGGATGACCGCAAAAACGAGAATCTTGAGTTGGGGAAAGATATACTGATTGAACATAGCCAAGGGACAATGAAGGTGGGTGTGGTAATGGATGACGCTGGAGAAGTGGCGAGTTGCGCGGTGTCGCGTACCGCAAGGCGACTGTTTGAGGGCAAGGTCAGGTATTATGTACAGGAGATCTAGCTTAACTGTATCATTTCTTACTTAGCGTTATGGAATTTTCTCAAATAAAGAACGTCTGGAATTTCCGATTCGGTTTTTCTTTCTCAATCATGTCCGCTGCTGGAGTACTGGGACGTAATCGGATACTCTGATCACTGTCTATAAATTGGTTGGCCATGCTCATTGCCTGGAGTGTCTTATGGATGGACCCTTGAGATTGATACATAATTTGTAAGCATCTCGCAAGAGCGAAATAGGCCTGTCATTCAATTTATACTGTTAAATATATTCAAATCTAGATTTTGTGGTTGCTAATGATGGAGCCGTTTATATATGTATTTATATATATATAGTATGTACTACCTAACCCCTAAACGATCAATTGCTTTTCACACCGTCGATTATGAGCTCCTCGAGTACCAAAGAATAACAAGCAAGATTAACAACCTAAACCAGTAAGCCCAGATAATTGGGAACTTAAATTAAATTTGTTGATGCTTTGCAGTGTATATTCAGCTCATTGTATTGAAATTGCGTTCGTGTTGACCCCTCTCCAAGCCTTAAATTTTAGGCCGCTAAGTTACCGAACCAGATCATCCTACTGGCCTGCCCAATCAGCGCTGCCACCCGGAATCCCCAGCCAACATAAAATGACTTTTCAGAGAGAATATTGGCATTCTGTTAAGGTTATGCCAGTTTAATTGACTAACCAATACTTCGGCCTCGCAGTATAAATGACCTTTATTAGACACTGGATGCGATCATCTACCTATGTCTTCCGAATAGCTAACGCCCTATGCAGACCGTTGAGATGCACACCTATGGGATGCTAACGCGAATCATACCCTCTTTGGCTAACCCTAATTGTCGGGGACGTTGCTCGAACAAGAGGTAGAGGCAGAAAGGTCCCACGATCATATCCGGAAAATAGTTCCACTTGAACCGACAGGCCATGCGGATATGTTTGGGGCCATAGTCCGACCAAACACAGAGTTAATGATGGAACGCGCTCACATCCAAGCCGACCGGTCTAATTAGACCAAGTAAGTACGCAATTGACTTGTGGACTTGGACCTGTCCCATTACCCGGCTAGGGCTGCAGAGGTAATGGTGGACGCGCCATCGCCGGCGTTGGTCCGACAGGCCATCATCAGTGCACCAGGGGGAACTTTCACTAGTCCACAATAATCTGCGACACAGATGTTCATTCTCTTTCTTGTTTCCTCCCTCCTTTTTATATTTTCGACTTTGTACATACCAAAATAACCTAGATCTACAGAGAGCGATTCCTCATATCTGACAGCGACACCCTCTTACCCTACTGGGCAATGCCCTACCTAGTAGCTTGCGAACTACCATGTTCGTACTTGATGCTAGTACTTGGTTCATTCTCGTGTTGATACCATACGCCCTTAGACATTTCTACTGGAAGAAGTGTCGTTGTATTTTGAACGACAGGATGGTCCGTCATAACAACTCGTTAGTATATATGCTTTTCTCCTTCACACCCTGTGGTTAATTAGGGGGCAAAATGAAGGAGCTTTGGGCTGGTGACCCCACAATACCTCTCAGAGATCCGTGAGGAAATCCATCATTTCTCATTACAATAGATACAATAAGTCGATGTACACATCTGCCTTATAACCTTGCAATATGCCTAACATGATGCAATCTTCCGCAAAGTCAGCCTGGCTTTCCTATGCCTTGCATACTGTCCTGTATGTCACTGCTTAAAATGCCGTTCGCGCCTTCTCTGCTTCTTCCTTAATCAGCAATTCATGCTTGTGGCTACGAACCGTCACCTTAACCGGAAAGGGTTCGTTATGGATGTGAAAGTGATTAAGTTTACGAGTATTGATGGGACCATCCTAGTTTCATTTAGCAACACACCATCTGAAAGGAGCAGGACATCAAAAGGAAAAAGAAAGGAAGTAAGGAAAAAACTTACCGCACATAAATTAAAACAGAATATGATTCGTGCCATAGCCACATATAGTGCCTGCTGAGCAACTCGATAGCCAACACAGATACGTCGTCCGCCACCAAACGCCCAGAGATTATGCACGATGTTGCCCTCATTGCCATCCAGCCAGCGCGACGGATCGAATTGATCCGGGCTTTCACATACCTGACTCAGTGCAATCCCGTTGACCACAAAGCACGTTCCCTTTGGGAAACGGTACCCTTCATATTCGAGATCCTCTGTCAGCTGATGCTGTGGCGTAACGGGTGTTGTGGGTCGCCAGCGGAGGACCTCTTTAACCATGGCAGCCAGATAGGGAAGACGCTCAAAGTCTACCATGCCGGGGAGTCGTAGTATACCATTTTCGTTGATGCAAACGGCATCTAGCTCCTGGCGAGCACGAGCCATTGTCTCCGGATAGCTGATCATTGCCATGATGAAGGTGTTGAGCGTCATGCGGGTATTGTCGCTGCCAGCTGCAATAACCGACGTGGCAAGATACATGGCTTCTTCCTCGGTACCCTTGTAACGCATGTCCGGATGGAGCAGCGTATCCCGCACAAAGCCAGGACTGGCTGTACCCTCACGGACGGCATCACGGATGGGGTCCCACCACGATTTGAACACCTGATGATGGAAGTCACCCATTTTAGCCCAGTACGGACGCCACCACTGGAGAAATGTAGGGATCCAGCGATTCAATTGGGGAAAGAAGTCAACCATGCTGTTGAGCAAGCTCAACGTGAACTCCATTGTGACCTTCTGATAGTCATTTAACTCATCCTGCGTCTTGGAGAGATTCTCTCCCATGACGAGACGGTATAGCACGGCAATCGAGTAGCGATAGTGGTGCGCATACCAGCGCTTGGGCTCCCGCAGATAGGCAGAGAGCATCTGGAGCGACTCAATTTCTTGCCAGTTACCGTATATACGCAGAACCGATCCGCTGAGCAGATGGTGCATCACCCGTCTGCCCTCGGTCCACGCAGCCGTGGGACGAATGACCGTGCGCAGACCGTGACTGACGAGATCACCCGCAATGGGCATCTCCGGTCGCTCGCTGGTAATCTTACCATGTTTGTTAATAATATCGGTAGCCACCTGCGGATCATTCAGCACCACCCAGGTCTGGGAGCCCATGTGCAGTGTGGTCATTGGACCGTATTGGCGCAACGATGCCAGCTGTAGATCAATTGGGTCAGTTTGCCATATCGCCGTAAGGCAAGAAGCCTAGACTCACGAATGGACCCCATAACCCTGCATCGCGGGCTCTCGTGAATTGGAACATGTTCCCGAAGATAGAGAGCCCCGGGGGACCGGGAGGCAACTTGCGCCGCATGCTCGCAAACCGTCTAAGAAGACTCCCTGGTCGAAGATATTCGAACGAGAGCCAGAGTAGCCCGAAGGCTCCGAGCACCACAAGTGTCTCTATGCTCTGCTGGGTCATGGTGATGTATGGGAATCAAACACACTTGATTAAGCCATTTAGCTCGGAGATGGCGAGTGGTATCCTTCTTGTAGCATAGCCGAAGGAGACCGATAACAGGGTTATGATGTTGTATGTCAGTGTATGTACTCTGGGTGGGGGGCCAACAGCAAAGCCCGTCAGCCCTAACGCAGACTAAGTTGACTAACTACAACTTTGGCCCCAAATCGCAAGGTTGACATTTTAGCGTGGAAACCGACAAAGAAATTACCGGCCGTAAGATGGAGGCAGATAAAAATAAGCACGTCAAAGCCCCTCCTACTACCCCTCATTTAGCCGCGCCTCCAACGCGTATAAAACCCTGGACAAGCTTGGCCTTTTCATAATTTCTCCGACCGTCTCGCATTTGCTTTCCTTCGTATTGCTTCTCGTCACTTTATTCATCCTCCCGCGCCTCATCCCTTGGCCCCCCACAATATGGCGGACTTTGAAACTCTCGCCCTCTCCACCAAGCCCTCAGCGCAGCTGAGCTACAGTTACCAACCTCCCCAGGGCACATCTAAGCCCGTCCTAGTCGTTTTTCTCAATGGTCTCGGCTTGCCTCAGGCATTCTGGCAGCCAGTCATTGCGCAACTGAAAGCCCTTCGCCAGGACAGCTCTATCCCTGCCTTCCTCACCTATGACCGGTATGGCCAAGGTCAAACAACCGATCGCGATCCCTCAGATGCTGGCGCAGAGGACCCGACGCACGGTCATGACTGCCTGACCGCTGTCCGCGACTTGCGTCAGCTCATCACCCAGATTACTGCCGACAAACTGGGTGCGGCAGATGTGGACTCTGTCGCTCTGGTTCTGGTGGGCAACTCGATCGGATGTGCTCTCGCGCGTATATACGCTCAAGAATACCCTGGCACGGTCGCTGGTTTACTGCTGCTGGACAGCGTACTGGCCAACTCCGACTTCGTCTCGGTTTTCCCCGACCCTGATGCCCCCGATTTCGATCCCGCTAGTATAGGACCTCTCCCCGTGGAAGCCATCCGGGCCGTGCGGGAAGGTGCGCGTCGCATTTTCCACCCTGACGTTGGCAACAAGGAAGGTCTGAGCAGACGCAACCTGCGTGAGCTACTGCCAGCTAGTGACAGTCCCCTTCTGAAGGGTCCCGAGGGTCATGGGCCATACGTCACCGTGGTGGGACATGACTTTGACACCTTTGCGGAAGAGTCTGCCAAGATGGGTCCCCCCAAGCCAGTCACAAATCGCTTTGTCAACCCATACTGGCACAAGTATAACGAGGGATTAACGAAGATTACCGAGGCAGAGTATAGCAAGGGACCACTGCAGGCGCCCAATGCGGGTCACTTTATCCAAAAGGACAACCCGGAGTTTGTGGTGCAAGAACTGAATGAGCTTTTGGGCAAGATTCTGTAAATAACTTTATTATTCTATTTGGGATGAATACAAGTCATGATAATTCTTCAAGTTACCTCATTTTGTCTGACTCGAGTCTACAAATTGAACAATTCGGATAATCTCCTCTTCCACACAGATTCCGTAGGTAACTGCATTCCTAATGAACTCAATGGTGAAACTGTTATCGTTCTCGGACCAACTGAGGGGATTTACCTTTTGGCTCTCGCTCTGTTTGCCAAGCGATGAGGAAATATTATCCGGACAGTACAAGATATGCCGTGCCTCTTGGCCTCCTCTTCTTGGCCAAGTCGGCGATCCCAGTCTTACGTGAGCTTGCTAAACTAGCGGGGCAGTTAATCCATTCTTAGCCTGGAGTCTCGACTCCACCGAGTCTTCTACTATATTATGCTTTCTTCATCATGTACCCTGTAAGCTGCATGCCCCGCCCACCATGTTTCCCGCAGCGTCTGACTGGCAGTTGATCCCATTTCTATTTTTGCCCCCATCTTTGTCCCACTAATGCCGGTCGGTATAAGCTACATATACAAGTAGGTCACTGAGTGGGTGGCGGTGTAAGCACGGCAAGATAGAAAGGTGACTGTAACCCATCATCTGTCAGCATGCCAGGGGTGGCAGGAGAGTAGTGCTATTGATCGACGACCAATTTTCTGTTCTTGTCCGTTGGCAGTCGGAGACACATTCTCTGTCTAGACTAGCGTGCAGAATGCCACCCCTTGTACTCACAAAGTGTGACATTTATTCGTATTGCTGCATAATCATCCAGCCTTGCGTCCTTCTTCTCCACATACAAGTGATGCCTGACGCACATTTCTGCAATGGGGCCAGTGGCAAGGCTCTCCATCCTGCAATATCCCCGCTGCCCGCTTGATAGCCCACCAGATGTTTTCTTCTTCAATGCGCGAGTTTCCACTCTTTCGGAACTGCCCTGACCCCTCCTCCTCCTAACTCCTTCTCCAGCTCCGTTTTCCTCATTCCCCGAGTCGTTGACCCTTGCAAGTATGGACCAAATGGCAGGCTCCAGGCCGCCTGATGTGAGCATCGGCTACCGGCTCTTGGTTGGCACGACGGTCACCTTTGTATGCGCATTCATTGTTGTCTCTTTGCGGGGTGTAGCTCGCAGCGTGTATGCTCGCATGAGCTGGGATGACTATCTTATGATATTTGCCTTGGTATGTTATCCATTCCACTATAGACTCTTGAGAATTGACGACTAATATTTCCACCCTCAGGTTCAAGCATTGATAGCGACTGTCTTCGATTTCATCGCCGTCGACAAAGGACTAGGACGTCACCTAGTTTACATCCCGAAAAATGACGCCGTCACAGCCATGTACTATGATCTGCTATCGCAGGTCTTCTGCATCAATGCCTTGAGCTTCGCGAAGATCTCTATCTGCTTATCCTATCTGCGCATCTTGAAAGGATCGCGCCATACTGTGCTCCGGGTAACATGTTACCTCACTGCGTTCCTGGTCTTTGCGGTCAATACTGTGGTTATCATCTCGTTGTACGCACAATGCGATCCACCACGCAAGTCCTGGAATCCGTTTATACCTGGAAAGTGCTGGGCATTTAGAACTGAGATCAGTCTTGTGTTGCTTCAGGGAGGTAAGCATATATGACATCATAGCTATCCTACCCTGTACCGCAGGACAGCAACTAACAATAATCCGAACAACAGCCTGGTCCGCAGTAACAGATTACTTCCTTTCCATTCTACCATTCTTCCTGTTCAAAGACCTACAGGTCAGTCGCGGAAACAAGATCATCTTGTGTGGCCTGATGGGACTAGGTGTCATGTAAGTCACCCATTCTGCCTCTTAACTCATACACCAAGATCTCGATTAATTAGATACCAGAACGGGCGTCTTCGCCACCATCCGCACTATTGAGTCCGGCCTGGGTCTCAAAAACGGCATCAGCGATGCCTCCTACACGACCGTGATGGGTCTCATGTGGGCAGGCATGGAGCGCAACATCGCCATGATGATCGGCAGTGTGCCCGCACTACGGCCACTGACATCGCCATTCATGAAACTGACCTCAGAAACGATGTCATACTTGGGAATCCGGTCTTCGTCGAAGAGATCATCGGGTTCTAGCTCTAATGGGTCGGGCTCGTTCCAGAATAAGTCGGGTAGTAAATCCACTAAGGATTTGCCCACGACGAGTATGGAGCAGATCTTGCCGAACAGAGCGCCGAGAGACATGGTATAAGCGGGGGACTGTACATACATGGGGGCGAAAGCTAGTGCTCCTGATTCTGTTAGATACTGCGTTAATGAATTATGCCACTCTGTCTACTGCTACACTTAGAGAAGCTTTCCTTTGTGCATAAGCCTGCAGTCTGTGTTTGTATTGAATTGTGTAGCAGCTGAGGTGACACGTATTCTGCCCGAACAGGCAAGTAATTGAAGATCAAGTAACCTTGACGATACATCCATAGGTTATCAGATCGGAGATTACACCTCTAGACCCACCAATAAGCATTGTCAATTCTATCTAATATAATAAGACTCGGGCGAGACGAGGCTGAGACCTGCACGGGCAAGTCTTCGAGATAGGTAAGTCCCGACGTTTCACCCCCACCCCAATGCCATTGACAACTGCCAATTCTGCCGACGCTGCGCTCCGTCTGACGTTAGAATTTAGCCTGTGTAAGGCTGAAAGGGTGTGAAGGAAAGGCCCGTGCTTGGCTCAAGGCTCAATTAGAAATTGTCTGGAGTTAGCGTGGCCCCCACCCACGTTGCTTTTTCTGGGCGCATTCGAGGCTTGAATTCTGAAGATAGTCGAAGATGGATGGAGCAATAAGCAGTATCCCTGTCACTGTTATGTACTTTTGGCCCCAATCTAAAGATATAATCCTCGCTTACTGCATACTACCCCGCTATTAGAATAACTATGTATGAACTATGAATTGAGTTATATTCCTCTTTAGGAAGAAGATTTACATTGATTAGGGCAGTCCTAAACATAGCTGGCCAAGATTGCCGTCCGCTGTACCTGTGTGCCTAGAAACGGGTATTGTAATTACGAATACTGTCCTGTATCCCTCGTGGGGTGTGATCGTATGTTACTGCGTCGGCCAGTTAGTCCTGTACATCGCCCACGCGGGTTGCATACATCCACTACTTAAACTTGGCAATATTCCCACCGAGCAAGGATTCCTTGACCAGAACCACTGCTCTGCTATACACAATGGTCTTTGAAAATCCCAACCTCCAAGTTCCGCGCAACTGTGGCCGGCGGCTGATGCCCGCCGTGCTTGACGAAGTGGCCGAGAGCGATCCCGAGCGTGTGTTCGTCTCAGTCCCCAGAAGTTCCAATCTAGCCGATGGCTTCAAGGACATTCCATATGGCACGTTCGCCAAGGCCGTGAACAAATGTGCCTGGTATCTGCGTGAGCAACTGGGCAAGGACTCCATCCCCAAGACCATTCTCTATATGGGTCCACTGGATGTGCGATACCTCATCATCATCCTGGCGGCAGCCAAGGCAGGCCACATGGTGAGAGTGTTTGATGCTTCATAACCTCTATAGCCCTTACTAATTCCATTCAGGCCTTCTTCAGCTCGCTTCGCAACAGCTTAGAAGCCCATTTGTCTTTGCTTGACAAGTCTGGCTGCGACACGGTCCTTGTGCCCAGTCGCGCACCGGCCATCCTGAGTCAGATCTTTGCCACACGCCCTATGGAGCAGATCGCCACTCCTGAAGTGGACTTCTTCTTCGAAGACTTAGACCAAGTCGAGCCGATCCCCTTCACCCTGACGTGGGAAGAGGCCAAAACCAAGCCCTTCTGCGTACTACACACATCCGGCTCGACAGGCATCCCGAAGCCCGTCTTTGTAACCTACGGCACCTTCGCCAGCAACGACGCCCACCAGCTCATCCCCTCCCTCGGCGGCAAACCAACCCTAATCAACTATCTCTCAGGCCAGCGCCTCTTCCTTGCGCTCCCCGTCTTTCACGCCGCATGTCTCACCTTCACCCTTGTCTTCAACATCTTCGGCGGCGTCACCTGCGTCCTCCCGCCCCCAGAACCCCTAACCGCCGACCTGGCCAACCAAGCCTTCCTCCACGGCAACCTCGACGGCGCCCTCATGGCCCCCTCCCTAATAGTCGACTGCTACAACCACAACACCTACTGCGTAAACATGGTCCAACGGCTCAAATTCCTCTCCTACGTCGGCGGCGCCCTCCCCGAAGAAGTCGGCAATGTCCTCACCACCCGCATAAAACTCATGACCATGATGGGCTCCTGCGAAACCGCCCTCCACCCCCTAGAGCTCAACCCCGACCCCGCAGATTGGCAATACCTCACCATCAGCCCCTTCCTGGGCCACTCATTCCGTAAAGACCGCGACGGCCTCTCCGACCTCGTCTTCACCCGGGACCCCCGCTTCGAACTCTTCCAAGGCGTGTTCCGCACTTTCCCGGATAAAGCTGAATTCGCCATGGGCGATCTCTTCGAACAACACCCCCACCGACCAGAATCATGGGTCTTCCGCGCCCGCACAGATGATATCATTGCCTTTACCACCGCCGAGAAACTCAACCCCATTACTATGGAAACAGTCATTTCCACAAACGCAAAGGTGAAGTCCGCCGTCGTGGGCGGTCAGGGCCAGTTCCAGGCCTCCGTCCTCATTGAACCCTATACTTATCCCCAAAGCAAGGAGGAAGAGGACCAGTTTATACGGGATATCTGGCCCAGTATTCTGCAGGCGAATCGGGATTGTCCGGCTCATGGACGCATTATGCGTGGGTTTGTGATGCTGACGAAGCCCGAGAAGCCGATGCCTAGGGCCGGGAAGGATACTGTGCAGCGGCATCAGGTGTTGAAGTTGTATGCGGAGGAGTTTCGGGAGTTGTATGAGCGCATGAGGCCGCATGTCAAGAAGGATGGTGTCGCTCTGGAGGCAGGGGTGGAGAAAGGGCCTGTGGAGGTGAATGGTGACGGTGGTAGTGGTGGTGGTAGTGGTGGTGGTGGTGATGATGATCTGGATCGTAGGGTGGAGGAGGCCTTGCAGCGGGTGTTGCCTGGGGCTGTTGAACGGGCTGTGCAGGATGTGCTGGCGCGGTTGCTCGCTGGGTTGACGGGGCAGTCATCAGCTGTGGTTTCGCAAAGTGCTCCTGAGAAGCCGTCGGTGCATGTCAATGGAACGGTGAATGGGGCGGCTGAGACTACTAATGGTGTGGAGGAGGCAGTCCAGACGGGACCTCCTGAGTTGAAGAAGGTCATTTATGACCAGCTGGGTGAAAATATCGATATCAAGGACATCAAGGATGACTCGGATTTGTTTCAATTCGGGTTGGACTCCCTGGTGGTTATTGATTTGACTAACGCCCTGAACACGTACATTATCAAGTGGCGGCCGGGGAAGGAGTTGTTGGAGCCCAAGGTGGTGTACGATAACCCAACCGTAGAACGGATATTGAATCTGGTTGAGGGTGCTGGCGAAGTATAATTATGTTTGATTAGTGCTGAACTATGTTATAATACCACTATACTCCAATGAATTGTGATATTAAAATCGCTCATACTGCAGTGACTCTCATGATTGTAATTGACTGAGATAATAGCTGTAGGTACCAGCGTAAGTTTCACGGAGAATGGGCATCACGCTACAAAATGACTGATATCAACTCTTATGATTAGGATTGTGGTTAATTCTCCCAAGAATCATGTCGGGTTTGTGTTTTTAATCAAGGCCACTCGACTAAAACACCATAGAGCGCTAAGGCCGTGTGTGCCTTGAACACCTCTTATGCCCAACATATTTTCCTACTATTCTCATACAAGAGCATAAGCTATTGTGATCACTCCCAAGTCCCCCACAGATTTGTATCGCAAAAGGAAAGCTTTAATTTATATAGACACTACGCCTGTATTAGAGAACGAAGCTACATAATCCCACCACAACAAAAGACTCTATACCCAGCCCCACCCCCAAAATATACACACAAAATCCTCTCCTTGAAAACCTCCAAGTTAACCCTACTGACCCCTTAGGAAAAACTCCCCCACCAACCCCCCAATAACACAAGCCCCCGTCCACCACAACAACCTCTCAAACCACCACCGACAATCTTTTGGCTCCTCCAACTTAACCACACAAATCATCCTCCCCAACACAACCGCCGAACCCCCCACCGCACCGCCCCAGTACATGCCCCCAAAACCCATCATCCAGCCCGTCGCCCCCAGTAACCCCACCTCCATCCCCGCTAAGCTGGTCAGCACCATCTTCGTCCTCCCCTGACATAACACCGCCATACTGAGAACCCCTGCCTTCAGATCATCCTGTAGATCCTGGTGCGCATACACGGTATCGTAGATCATTGTATGCACTACATACGACACATACAGACAAGCCAGAGCGATCCGGGTGCCTGAGTCAAGGACTCGAATATCCACGCCCAGAGACCCATACCCTATTCCCTGGCTAAGGGCTAAGGATAGACCCAGGACGAACTGGGGGAAATGCGTGATGCGTTTGCAGAAAGGGTAGAAGGCCATTGACGCGGCGAGAAGGGCCGCGGGCATGTAGCTGGTGGAGGGGAGAATGGATAGGGTTAAGATCCAGCAGAGGCCCAAGAAGAAGGCGAAGGTGTGTGCTTGCAGGGCGGAAACGGCCCCACGTGCTACGGGTCGGTTCTTGCATCGGGCGACTTGGCGGTCGTAGGGGGCGTCGAGGGCGTCATTGTAGGCGCAGGCGGAGCCGCGGAGGAGGGTGTTGCTGAGGGCGTGGAGGATGGTGAGGGAGAAAAGGTGGGTGGGGGTTGGTCGGTGGGAAGGTGTGAGGGTTGGAGAGGCGGCGGCGAGGAAGACGCCGATGAGGTTCGGGACGTAGGCGGCGTAGATACCGGCGGGTTGGTGGAGGCGCATCAGCTCGGCGTAGGGGACCAGAGAGGGGGGAAGGGACGAGAGGATGTTGGTCTTCTTGGTTGGTTGTGGAGGGGATGGGAGTGGGGCGGTGATGTTGAGCTTGATGCTGGCATTTTGGGCCGGGGAAGAAGTGGTTTGGGTGGTTATGGTGGCCATGGGGAGAAGAATTGACACGATGGACTAGATTATGAATGATGGTGTGCTGGGGGGAGAGGATGGCGAGCGAAGAAGTGCTGCGATATGGTTATCCTTGTAGTTATATAGTCGGATTGATGTATAAGTGAAAACATGCAAGTATCAGTCTATTAGGGCTTATGGTCATGATACATGGTACTGAGTCGGTATCGTACAGTTCTGAAAGTTACGAGACGACAGTGCCTCGGCCAAGAGTGGGATTGGGGGCTAATAATTAATAAATTAATATAGTTTATACGAGCTGGGGGCGGAGTAGAGCACGGGCGTCCAGCGATTATCATCAACATATTAGCGGATATAACTGGCGTCTACCGTGGTGCTGAGAAACATCCCCTTGGCCAACCGACGAGCATCTCAACAGACAAGGTCGACCATGATGAACATTCACGGCTTATTATCAACCCGCGGTGGCCTGAATGTCACTCAGGTGCTTGGCAGGATTCCGCCCCATGTCTTGAATCCAGCCTTGCATCGTGATGAGATTGATTTGTCCATGGCGGAGAACCGGGTTATCCGTCATGAAATTATTCAGTTAGCCAAAGCGGCTATCGAGACAAGTCTGCATTACGAGGTAGATAGCCACCTAGCTGTATATCCCAATGACCAGCAAGAGGCACTGCTAACCGGCTTCAGCATCTAGATTGGCCCAAGGGCTTTTTCGGCGATGCAACGTTGCTTGATCTTCTTGCGAGTACAATCAACACTCACTTCCGCCCCCATTTCAAGGTAGCATCAGACAATATTGCTGTGACAGCTGGGGCAGCTGCTGGTCTGGATGCTATCTTGTACAACATTTGCAATCCGGGTGACGGTGTACTTGTCCCATGTCCGTACTGGAGTGAGTGAGCTAATTTCTCACGACGGCTATTGATGGTTACTAAATGTTTGAAGATGGATATGATGCACTCTTCGCTTTGCACTCTGAAGTCCGGCCTGTTGGTGTTGTGGTGCCATCCCTCGAGGACTCTTTTGGTCCAGCACTCCTCTCGGCACTGGAAGAGTCGTACGAGAATGCACCTTGTCCGATCAAGGCGCTCGTACTCGCTAATCCACACAACCCTCTCGGTCGACCATACTGTCGATCAATTCTAGAACAATGCATGGCGTTCTGTCAACGGCGCAATATCCATCTTGTTTCAGATGAGGTGTTTGCGCTCAGCAGCTTTGCTAGCCCCGACTTTACGAATCCCGAGTCCTTTGTCTCCTGTTTAAGCATTGACCCTTCTGATGCTGGATGTGATCCGCAACGCGTCCATGTTGTGTGGAGCATGAGCAAGGACCTTTCCGCGGGTGGCGCTCGACTGGTATGCTCACTGTTCCTGGTTCTGTTTCCCTGTAATACAGGCCGATTCCTGACCAATATTTAGGGCTGCGTCGTCACCCGCAACCGGCCCCTCAGGGATGTTGTGGGACTTGTGGCGTCCGTACATGTATCGGTGCTGTCCACCGTTTTTGCAAAGGAAGTGCTTGCCTCACCAAAGCTGCCAAAATTGTTGACTCTCAGTGCTACCAAACTGGCAGAGACATACACGACTTTGACGACCGCATTCAAGGCCACTGGAATTGAGTATTTCCCGAGCTGTGCGACAGTGTTTGTCCTCGCTCGGTTGGCACCCCACGCAGCAACCTGGGATGAGGAGATGCTTGCCTTGCGCGCGTATATGCAGGCAGGTGTAGCCATTGTGCCAGGAAGAGCATACCATATGCCCGAGGAGCAGAAAGGATGGATGCGCGTCACCTTTGCAGTTTCCAATGAGGATTTGGCTGAGGGGATCCAGAGGATTAAGAAGGTATATTGCAGTCTTTTGGCAGGGGGTGTTGAACTATAATAGGTCTTGCAAGGACTTCTACGCACGACAGGGGTATTTCACTAGTAGCATGAATATAAGATAGCCCATGGAGAGCATCGCACATTAACCTTCGAAACTCAATACCTTCTCTACACATGGCATTAGCAGCGTCTCCAATTAGGTTCTGTCTTACTAATCCAACCAGGCAACACTAGGCAGCAGTGAGAGTTGTCCCTAATATATATTCACTACTCGGTGAATATTATGATGATATTGACTACACTCCCAACTTAATTACAAAATGGCTACCAATTTAACCAAATCCGCATGGAAATTAATTCCCATGTTCCAATCTACTTCGATTTCTCGCACCGTCCAATTTTACACTGAAACTCTCGGCTTCGAACTTGGCAGTGTTAAACCTGAAGATGACACGTCCGAATTGACCTTTTGTTCCGTTTTCATGGGCAAAAAGGCCGACGCCAATTTCTACTTCTCAAAGGTCTCTGTTGAACAATTCAAAGCATCCGAAGCCATGATCGCACTTGGAAGTCAGGAACTAGACGAGTACTACCTATATTTGAAAGGCTGTGAAGACGTGACGATTACAGAGGATATTGAAAACATGCCATGGGGCTTTCGACAGTTCACTATCAGAGATCACGATGGGAATCGATTGACGTTCTTCAAATTCCTGGAGGGAGGAAATCCGGGTGAAGAATGAGAGGTCGCAATCTGTCGTTACTGTTGCAGCTCAGAAGTGAGCATTTGAGCAGTGTTCTATACAGAGCCATAGTTGCTTGGATGGGGGCAGTGGAGGGCATGGTTGCTCTGAGGTTAATTTACTTATAACTCTGTGCTATCGAGAATGTGGGTTTACTGTATCAAAAAGTAAATGATATAGCTGAGAATATACTTAAAATAAGAAGATATTCAAATGCATATGTAGCCTGCCTCCATACTTTCACGAACTAGAGTACAATGACTTTTGCGCAATCTTATATAACTAGAGCACATTGACAAAGAGAAAGTTTGAAGGACACAGAAGGATTTCCCAGAAGCTCGACCAAGTTGGGAGTACTCCATAATTCCGAGAGCTGGTTTTTAATTGTAGAGAGGCTTTGCTTATTAGCCTATGTCAAGGCACGCCGAACCTAACTTCCTCTTTTCTTCATATTCTGAGGTGGACACTTCACTGCGTCTCGGAAATATCTTGCTTCACTCGATAGAGTAAGTCTACATCCTATCTTCTTATTTTGGCATTTTATATAATCGTCATGGTGAGGACATCATTCTTTTTGGATAAATTAACCTCGGTTTTAATGTTTCCCGGAAGAGTAACCCAGTGACAAATTAAGGCAAATCACCTGTATCAGCGAACGTGGCTCGAGCTGCAAGGGATAGTGCTATCGAACAACGAAAAGCGACATGAATCTCGCCACTGTTTATTGGAGCTGCAAATGAATATACGTGCGTAGGATATACTACCTTAACATGTAGCCCTATTCCCTTGGAAAGGACTTCGCAAAGAGGCCTATTTTACAGGACCTATTGGTCGGTAGTCAAGTAGCTTAGCCGTTACTCACTAGGCAGACATTCGCACTATAAAGCAGCAGATGCTGTCATATCTAATTCATCTTCTGGACTGGCGATCGACATATTAACAGGCAACGGCTTTATGCCCAGCAATTTATTTTTTCCTGTTAAAGTAATGGTTTCAATATAGTGGAATGTTACCCTTCAAGGATTGACTGTTGAGTGTCATCACCACCCCCTTCAATGAAATTGTTATGTGCCTTTCATTCCATACTTTCCCTCCGATAAACTCGATTCAAACAACCCGTTAGTAGTAGAAACAGCTACTAGTTATCATCAAACTAAAAAACGTCCATATTTGTGTTACTTCATTATAACTTGAGGTGAGGTGAACAAGACGAGTTCCACTATTGGCCTCGTACGTGGAGATCATGGGCGAAGCATCGGGATCACCATCGCGTTCTTTTGGATCCCGAAGCCATACATAGGAATAGTGGGCCAATTCTGACCTCACCTCTTCTTCGCCGTCTTGTCTATCTGTAGTTATGGTTAGGGCCGGGTTAGTGTTGCCCTATTCAACGCCCCGAACTAAGAACCCTAAAAAGACTGAGCATTACCCCATGACCACAGCTCATAATTTCTGAGAAAGAAGGGAGGATCACTAACATCATCACGTTACATTAAGTATACGAAGCAAACCTAAAGAATAGAATCGTGGCGTTCCCCACTTACTGCGAACGATGAGTAGCGGGGATAAACGGGCGGCTCGTAGTTAAGCCTTGCTGTTCTGCCGGCTAAGCCCTTGCTAAACCATATTTCCATGGATGTTGGTCCATAATCAGTGTCTGGTCAATATTCTACAAATCGGTCAAGCAGCTAATAGACATGTCGCACGCATTTTATCGGTGTAGATGCAGTTCCTCCCCTAGTCGGATTTAGTAGGCTTGGCGTAAGCAGCTTGCATTAGAGCGGACCATGGGACGGTGTAGGATGGCCCACTCTACAGACTCCTTATCTAGATAATCCTATCTGCTTATACTATAGATAGACGGATGAGTCCACTAATGGATATTCCAGAGTCGAGTTTATGCAAGGTGCTTATGTGCCTTCCCGATCCGTTTCAAGCGCCGATTTCCAAGTCATACGGGCCTGCAAACCTTTTTTCTAGGAACCTAGGAAGTAGCAGCCTGCATTAGTTCATCGTTCGAACCCGCGATTGCATCATTTTCTCTACTAGTACGCCGCTCGGGGCAGTTCATCTATGAGGTGTACTTCGTAAGCACTTTACATTAGCACCACAGAGCGTCCTTCCTTGTACTCTGTACTATCGTAGTGTGCTATAAAGAATTCAGAATGGAACCCCTAGACCCTGAGCTGCAAGATAGTCACGGCCCGCCCTTTTCCTCATCACTCTCAATCTTCTGTAACAGTGGCAAAACGCCCAGGAAAAGATGTCCGAAGCTGTTCCCCACTCTACCGGGGATTACCCCACACCGTAAAGCCGGTGGATTGCCATCAGAATATCCGTTCATCTAATCTCCGGCTACTTTGATTACTCCATTTAGAGCGGTGTAAATCCGCACATATAGTTTTAGTATAAATACTGTATAAGGACCCAGCTTCTCCTCTGTGCCTTTCACTATCCCTTACTACTCCTCGTTATCTCTTTCTCCATTGACTACACCTGTACTTCCAATCATGACTATCGACAGCAATTCCGATTACGTCTTCCAGGGATGGATGGGCCTTGACAAGGACTCCGTTGGTAACATGAAATGGCAGACCTATGAACCGAAACCATGGGAAGAAACCGACGTCGATATTAAAATCACTCACTCCGGTATTTGTGGCTCTGATATACACACGCTTCGTAGTGGATGGGTTCGTATCTTTCCCTTGTTCCTTGGCAATCTTAACGTTATTCTATTGGCATATACCTACTAACACACTGTTGCCAGGGCCCAACCATGTACCCATGCGTGGTCGGCCACGAGATTGTCGGTATCGCCGTGCGGGTGGGATCCGAAGTGAAACATGTCAAAGTCGGCGATCGTGTTGGAGTTGGCGCACAGTCTGACTCCTGTCGCAACCGAACGGGTAAATGCAACGACTGCTCTTCCGGGCGAGAAAACGTCTGCTGGAGAGAAGGCCGCACTGACACATACAACGGCGTCTACTTGAACGGCGGCAAGTCTTACGGTGGTCACGCCGACTACAATCGTGCTCCGGGTCATTTCGTAATCAAAATCCCGGACCAGCTGAACCCTGCCCACGCGGCTCCGATGCTGTGTGGTGGAGTCACGACTTACACTCCATTGAAGGCGAACGGGTGCGGACCAGGAAAGCGCGTTGGGGTGATCGGCGTGGGTGGACTGGGTCATTTTGCGATTTTGTGGGCGAAGGCTCTTGGCGCCGATCGGGTGGTTGGCGTTTCACGCAGGGAGTCCAAGCGTGCAGATGTGTTAAAACTAGGTGCCGATGACTATATCGCTACCGAGGATGAGAAGGACTGGGCTCAGACTCATGCCGCCAGTTTGGACCTTATTATTTGCACGGTTTCATCGCCGGATATGCCGCTACGGGACTATATGGGCTTGCTGGACTCCTATGGTCGGTTGGTCCAGGTGGGTGCGCCTGAGGATAAACTTCCTGTTCTTCACGCCTTCGACTTCATTCCGAAAGGGAAGTCGCTTTCAGGCAGTGTTATCGGGTCACCGAATCAGATCGAGGAGATGCTGCAGCTGGCGGTTGAGAAAAATGTTCAGCCATGGGTGGTGGAACGGCCGTTAAGTGACGCGAACCAGGCATTTATCGATATGGAAAACGGTCTAGCCAGATATCGGTATACACTTGTAAATGAGAAGCATATTTAGAGTAGTCTTCGAGTTAAGGGCAGCTTGAATAATATCTTGATCGATAAGAAGTCACATCCCGCAATATGCACGTGAGCTGCTAAGCTCAATTAGAACAAGTATGTTTAGGGCCAGGCTGACGAATGATCATCGCAGTTCTGACCATCGATCGCGTCAATAATCAAGGGCTGAGGGAATTAATTATGCGGGGAATAGATGAAAACCAAAGAAAATCAGAAAGGTATAAATGCCCATTAAAGTTTGGCTTATATCCTTCCAAAATTCTAAAATTGGACAATTGACGATTGAAAGTCAACTAAAATGCACAATGTCGCGAACGCCACGCGTCAATCACTGGATGAGCTCCGCATGACAGATATCATGCAAGCTGTTGAGCGAGGTCACATCAATGCAGCACAATCTCTCCTCGATGGTGTATCCCCTGATATCCAGGATCGGACGGGCCGAACCATCTTCTCCCAGGCTGTTTCACTCGATTCAAAGCACGATCTCCAAAATCGTCTCAATGCGGAAGTTCTGTTTGACCTCCTCATTGCTAGAGGCGCTGACCCCGACCTCGGAGATCATACGGGAGAGACACCCGTGCACTGGGCAGCAAAGGCAGGTGACCATGAGATGGTGTGTCTGCTCTTGAAAAGGGGTGCTCAGTCGGACATCCCAGACAAATGGGGCCGCACGCCGTTATCTCGAGCTGCCGAGAGGGGACATAACTTGCTTGTCGAGCGACTTTTGGTTGACGGCCGTGCGGATTCTAACAGTAGAGACAGACGCGGTCGCACACCGTTATCTTGGGCTGCTGAAAATTCACATTTACACATTGTGGAGACATTGGTCAACCACGGTGCAGATGTGGAGATTCGTGATAACGAGGGACAGATACCTTTATGGTGGTTCCTGAACCATACAGACCGAACTAATACAGCCGATCGAGAGACAGTGAAAGACCCGGTCAACTTCCAGCGATGGTGTTCAATTCTCGGCCCCAAATCAAGCATAGAGCCTGTTACCAAGAAACGACGGACATTCCTGGCCTGGGCTTGTGAGCGAGGCGACCAGCAGCTGGTGCAAGAATTGCTCCGAACGACATGGACCGATCCGAACTCGATTGATCGACATAGGAAAACACCACTTATCTATGCTTTGGAGTGGAAGCACTACGAAATTGCCGACATGCTTATGTCTGGGGTAGACCCGGACAGACCGAAAAAGGACTGTGTGTCACTACATCTTCTTATACGAGAAGGCCGATCCCGTCTGCTGAAACTGTTCTTAGAGCGATACAAATCTAATCTAAATGAGGAGGATACGTACAGTGCAGTTCCTCTCATGAGGATGGCCCTCCAGCAAAGTGACCGGCCGACCGTGAGGCTACTCTTAGACTACAAAGCAAGTACGCAGGGGCTGAAAAGCAGCGATTGGTTTGGACCTTGTAGCACATTGAGAGCGGCGGAACCTCTAGTGGGTCTGAATAAAGCGAACTGGGATGGTTATTCCTCTATACCAGTAATGGAGATGACAATCCAGGAGCGTGATCGCACCGCAGTTGCCACTTTACTCGGTAAACGTGCTCGAATTCTAGAGATCGAGGATGATGATGACGACTTCGCACAGTATTCTAGCAACATCCAGCAGAGCGTCGCCGTGGATATAATGACGTATAAGGACGGGCGACAGGCTGTAGAGTGGATTTCGGAGGACACGTTCGACCAAAAAATGAAAAAACTGACAAAGAGCCCAGACGAGAGTCATCTGATGTGAGTTGACGTTGCCTCTATATATATCATCCTAGCTGATCACCTTCCATCTGCCATCAGACTCTTTCGAGAGAACCAGACTTGGAACACATATTGCCAGATGGACAATCTCCCCAACGAATTAAAGTTCTCTCTGGGTAACAGAAGTCCATGTAGGACTTTTAGTCTGTCCATCGTCATGCATTTCCAGAATATGAAGGCCCCCAAGGACTCTCTTGATGACAACAGTGGCGAACACCATCGCGTCCGAACAATTGAATGGTCGGTACTTGAAGCGCCTCCAAAAACAGTTCACTACTTCAGCAATCTGCCATTTGGCTGGACCCCAGAAAGCGACTTGGAGCTTATTGAGCTTTTTATGCAAACATGGAAGGACGACTGGATAACCTTCTGTCGGGATGAAAGGAGAAATCTTGGGCACTTGGTAAGGAAGCGAGCGAGCAGATGCTGTTGAGGGCACAGATGTTGACTGGTCTGGTAGCGATCATATCAGCTGGCCGCTGCTGGAAAAGACGACTTTCTAATTGACGCTATAGCGGGAAATATGCAAAAATGGACCCAAATGCAATGGATGCTAGAAGATCAACTCAACCAGGCGAAGGAATTCGTCGCACAGTACCAAGCGTTTACCGAAAGTCGGCAGCTCAGCGAGTACATGGGTAAGATTATCACTACTTTTGAGCATGACGTTTCATGTCAGATCGATAAGATGGAACAGGGAATTCGGGATTTGCTGCAAGTGGTAGGTGGCTGATGCCTTCGCTGCATGGCGGTTCTGAGGATCTAATTGTAACACGATATTGCGCAGGAATTTGCATGGGTGTCTATCAATGAAGCTCACCGGTCGACCAGTCTAGCCGCAAGCATGAAGCGGATTAGCTGGATCACGGTAAGATGATGCGCTCCAGTTCAATTGGACGGTGACTGACAAGCTTAGTTCATATTCCTCCCTCTAATGTTTGCCTCTGTAGGTATCTTCAGCCATGACGCCGTGGTATTGCCTGACCTGTATAGAGTCTTCTTGGAATGAATATAGACATCCTGAAAGATGAGCCGAGTTGGTGGTGGTTTCTCATAATCGGAGGTTCCCTGACATTTCTCACGGTATTCACTTGGATTGGTGCCAGATTCACACGAGTTAGTTGCCATTTGAATTGCTGGAGCTCTAAATATGCTAACTGTCGCCAGCTTGAAACGTGGCCAGAGAAAATGATATGGACACAACCAAAACAAAGGCCATACTCCCTCGACCAAAATATGAGGCCGTTGAGCAGATCGTTGCAGCCGTAGCCGGCTAACTCGTAGTGAGCTGAGCTATAGTAGTAGCTACAGTATTCACTGAACATGTTCCACTGCCAAAGTGCAATCTGTGTTTTGAATACGTTTCCAACTGAACTCCAACTTTTCGTCACAGAATATTATGCAAGGGATTTCTTGTTGTCATCAGCGTTCCTTTGACTCCTAGATTCTATAGATCTTTGGGGTGGATTCTTTCTACCCCTGACCTGCTCTGTTATGACTGGCTGCTTTACAGACTCCAAAGCTTCGCACAAGTTGGTCATATTTATATGTCTTTCAGGCTAGAAGGTTCTATTCCTTGGATTGTTGGAGAGCCCATTTCTGGCTTGGGTTCTCAGGAGGTTTATACTCCAGTTATGGTTCTAAATCTAAAGGACTATAACCCTTAACTATAAGCGCTGGACACAGGGGTTTGAGCTGTATGATCCTTAGCTGATATTAACGTATATAGTTGCTATTACAGCTACAATGGTCACAAAGCCAGTCCACGTACCATAGAAATAGTTCCTTGGTCGACTGCTCGACGTTAAACAGTTAAACCTGTCTAGAAACCTATAATACGAAAGGGATTCAATGCCACCGTCTGTCTCCTCGGTTACCCCAAACTATGCGTCCTTCTTGTGGCCACGTTGGTTCTCGAACTTTTTACCAAACTCGTTGATGAATTCTATGCGATACAGTCAGTACGAGCAAGCAGTCATTGATGCTGGAAGGGGATTCCAAGGAAGACAATATACCTTTAAATGAGACTTTGCCATTGTGATTCTTATCCATATCATTAAACCACTGCTCGGCCTCCTTATCATTCAAGGCCAGACCCTCACTTCTTGCATATTCAATATACTCCCGTGGATCGATAACACCTAGCAGGTATGATGCATGAGGGCATTAGATACAGTAGTTCCACAAAGAAGGCATTTACGGTTATCAGGGTTCTTGTGGTTGTCGTTGCCGGTGTTCTTTCAGGTTTAGTTAGATTAGTAGCAGTGTTGAATGGTTACTTGTATACACTCACAATATTGGTGAATAGTTCCTTCCATTTCCTAGTCTCCTCCCGGGTGTATTGTACACCTCCGTGAGTAGGCTATTGCATAGGTGATGTTAGACCAGATATAGAGCCTTTGCTACAAATTTTCTCACCATTTTTCTTTTCTGATTTATCTGGTCGACGGGTTTTGCTTCACTTCTAGCCTGTAGGACCGATAGATCGCATCTAGTCTTGTTCGAATCTGCGCGACAATCCACACTTTATAGAACTTAACCGACATATAGCTATGATTCATAGCAGGTGAGTTCCTCCAATAGATAGAGATCCTGGAACTATCCTGGGTCCATCTTTCTTTGGAGGCATTATTAGACCAATTACATATAGATGAAACGCATCATACGTAAACGGAATGGTACATATCATCGCCCATCACCAAAAGTGGTGACTGTATCGCTTCCTTAGGCCATCTATCCAGGAAGGTGCTACCAATAATAGGTTAATTGCCGCTAGAGTATCGTTGACTAAAGCGTAGACTTCTTCACTGCCAAGGCCGGGTATCTAGCTTATTAGGACGATCTACATCTGAGTTGTTGTTCGGTACCGATTTCTATAGATCCAATGAGAGCAAACTCGCCGTTCTCACCAGTGGGCCGTGACCGATAAGCGAGGTTTTCATCTCCGGCTCAGCCAGTCACGCATCCTTATACTAAGAATCCAAACGCCGGCTCAGTGGTCAGATCTTTGAACGTGAAATATGGACATTTTATCATAAAAATTTGATTATTTGGTTCCACATAGCAAAGGTTATATAGAATCAAAGGCAGAGATCTACAGATTATTCCTCTTTCTTCAAGATCGTTTAATAATCGAACCACAGTCCACTGCATAGTCAACCAACTCTGTTATTATCCCCTTCTCTATTATCTATAAAATTAATTTCTTTTCTTTAAAACATTGTATTCCCCGTGGCTGCGGTATATACAAGTAGTTATTATCACTAGAGATAGTTCCTCCAAGATATACACGATATCTTTAAGCTCTAAACCATGACTGCCTGGTATATTAAGCTACAATAAGTAATATTCTACTTCAGAATAGAAGGTTTCAACTAGCTAAGCCTGCTACATCCCTAGCTTTTTCGCTGGATCTCATATCAACTTTTGCCCCTGCTCTGCTCTATTAGGGCTACCTGCTTTGTAAACTTCGTTCATACCCTTTTCAAGTTCATGCATTTATCTACAAAGTGTCCAGAAATGCGTTGACGCGGCTATTTTATTACATCCTCGCAAACACTCGGAGTTGATCGGGGAATCTATGCAAGCCTCCCCAAATCCCATCAATCGGCCTCCAGGCTTGAATCAGCCCTTAGTAAATTACTAGCACTGCTAGAGTAAAAATTCTCAACTGTGAATGTGGGGCACTGCTTTGTAGCTGTATCATATTCTAGTCTGAAAGACTCGCCCTGTATGATGCATCAACTGATTTCTTTATAGAGATTTAGCACTCCAGCTACAATAGCCATAGGCCAGTACAGATACTATAAAGCTACTGACTGGACTGACTGCTTGATTTGATAGTAAAGCCTCCATGGAAACATAATATAAGAAAAGGACCGGAGATCACTTATTCTCCATTCTTTCGCCAAACGCTTTGATGAACTCTATCCATTGCAGTAAGTACAAGCAAGCAAGGTCGAATGCTGGTTGGGATTCCAGAGGTAACATACCGCTAAATGAGACTTTACCATCATGATCCTCGTCCAGGTCGCCAATCCATTCCTCGGCCTCCTTGTCGCTCATATCAAGACCATCTTTTCTAGCAGCTGCAATAAGCTCTTTAGGTTCGATATAACCTAATTGGTATAGTGCATGAGTCATGTGAGACAGACAGTAGTTCTATAGAGAAGGCACTTACGGTCACCGTCGGTGTTCTTTTAGATTTAATGAATTTAGCAGCAGTCGCATAGATTAGTCACTTCAAGCTTTGTATACACTCACAATCTCCCTGAATTTCGCCCTCCAAAAGTCAATCTCCTCACGTGAGTAGCGGCCCTGTCGTATAAGTAATGTTAGACCAAATATGGAACTATGACTGTATATTATCTTACCATTTTGCCTTTTATGTATTATATTCTGGATGTTATTACTTCACTTGTAGGGCTGAGGGTGTTTCACCAGGTCTTTGTCGAGATTTGCGCAACAACCCACGTTATATAGCCTGGTCAGACATGTGGCTATGATTTATGGCATTAGCTTCCTCCAATAAACGGAATTCCTACAACTATTCTGGATCCATCTTTCTTGAGGCATTATCGGACCAATTACGTGTGTGCCGTATTGCTAGATGAAGCGCGTCATGCGAAGTCGGCAAGTACATCATCGTACATGTTCACCAGTGGAGACCGTAACCCCTCCACGAGCAAGTCCATTGCAGGTCTGGTCAAAGAAGTGCTGTCAATTATGGGTTGATGGTCACTGAATTAGTGTAAACTTTGCCGAGGAGGCTGAGCATTTCGGTTATGGGAACGATCTGCATCTGAGCTGGTCTTTTGTTGCGGGGCAGATGTCCTAAGCAGCGAAGGCAAGGGAATAATAATTCGGTGTCCTAGAGGATCATCGAATCTGAGGCTCTCTTTTGTGGACTCCTGAGTAGTGGATGTAAGAGCCAGCCAATGGTCGACGTGTTCAAGATCCCTCATGAAGCTGTAGCCAGCTGAAGTGAGGGGTATCTGCATACAACAGTGCAGCTTTAGTGTAAATACAAGTTCCGACGATCAATCGGCTGATTGATGGCGATGATTCGGAACCACGGTATTGCTCCACTCAGTGACTGGGGGGGCAACTACGACTCGCTGAGGCGAGTCTGCATTGATCATGACGGATTGGACCCCGGGGGGGTGATACCGAAGTACTGTTGACAGTATGTGAGGTCGTCGAAACAGCTAATCCCTATGGACTAGTTAAATGGCATCACCGATACTCTTGGCTTCGACAGAATACTACGTGAATAGTTCTACTGACCAGCGCTGGACGAGAAGCCCTTAGTTATCAAAGGAGGTGGGGAAGCGGGGCAAACTGAATAGTGGCGGGCTGAAATTACATACATAGTCGTTGGCTAGTGCACCGCAACGGATATGTTCTCCGCGACCCAAGATTGCAAGATGGTGGGGCAGCTGAAAAGGCAAACTGATTCATCATTAAGCTGGCCATCTTAAAGATTTGTACCATTTCTGTGGCCAATTTTGGACCGTTTGATCCCCTTTGGGCAGTTATGTCTTTATAGAAAGGTATACGGCGGACTTAATCAGGGTAGTTAGTATATTCCCAAATCTCCCAACTTCGACTTTTACATCACACGTGCAATTTTTCTTCCATTCTTATTCCGAGGTCCTCCCAGTAGGATCTATCGGTTCCACTGTTTTATCCAGAAATGGTCGAATCCGGACAGGAGACTCGACCTACTGCAGTGTAGGGCAAAGCGTCGGAAATATGTACTGGAGAAAGACCACGACTCTCTGAGCCCAAGACATAGCTAGATAAAAGGCTCCACGTATACTACCTTGTGGCTTGAGCACATAAGCGTAGACCCGGGGAAACTCATGGCACAGCACAGGCGATACCGCCTAAACGCCATACATGGTTGGTTGACAAGCGCTTTGTCGAAACTTAGGAACCGCATGACTGGAGAGAATAAAAGAGGAGCCTGTTTCGGTGCGCATGTAGTGATGAGTCTTCGCACCAATCTACGTTACGGGAAGACTCAGGATATGAAGCTTGGCCGTTGATTCTCAAAGCTGTCCTAGTTGATTTAGGGCAATATTCTGATTACCGCGAGATTCCAAACTTTACAAGAGAATATCACCCTGATGTCCCCAAACTCTAGCTAGGTTTGAACGTATGTGTTATAATGGGTGGTATGTCGAGTCGTGCTTAATTTATAATATATCAAGTCTATCCATTAGACAACCTGAGTCTTCATTTTGAAAAGCCATTGTTACTTACGAGAATGTCTCGCAACTTCTGGTATTCACAAGATACCGTACCTCTAGTTTACAGATGCTGAAATCTCTTTTCAGGTACTATGCAGATCTTACTAAAACTTACATATTCTAGTACTGTATATATTACTCTATCTCCACAATAGAGTCACCATAGCTATTATATGGACGCTGGCAATACCCGCGATGTACTATTAGGTTGTTGTCACAGTGGCTATACAGGGGCGATCCGGGCAGATCAGACCATGAGATCTGATCATAGTGACAGTTAGGCCCAGATTTGAAACAAAGTTACCCGGGCATGTGCTTTTACAGTGAATCGTTCATGTATACTACAATATAATGTTCCAAATCGAGTCACCAAGCACCCAATGCGAACAGTTCCATGTCCTGTAAACTAGTTTCCCTCTTTATTTGATATAAGGAAAAGCTCATCCACATCTCCTGGGTCCGACGGATGGGCCGTCACTCAGCCCTAGCCAACAATTCCATGAACCTAGCAGTTAGATTGTTCACTAGAGGTGTAGTCCCATATAACACCATCGCTATATTAAACTAGCATATCTTCAATATAACGGCGAGAAAGGGGCGGGCTTTGTTCATACTATACGTCTGATGCCCTGATGGATTGTTTGCTCTTGGAGCGATAGAAGATGTAGCAGAGATCGCATAGTGCTGCCTTTCGCTGATGACCTAGTAATCAGGTCACACTTAACTACTTGGAACTGACATTTATGTTACAAGCCAAGAGTAGTACGCGATAGGCCAATGTCGATGATTTATGGCTAGATTTAGATCAGACCAGATGAGTCAGAACCGAGAGTCCCGTCTTGGCATTTTGGAGGTCGGCCTTCATCCTCAGTTTATTGGTCTCGTACTTGATACCCACAGATGGATCCCAAGTGCCCCCACGTTTGGAGTACTTCAAATTTCTCCTCGGAAATCAACATAGATACCTATCTTAAAAACGATGCTAACATGACTCACCATCCAAGGAACTATATCTTAAATCTAATTCAACTCTCTTGGTTTCGCGCCTGTTGAGCAGTTAATCCACCCCATTCTCCATCATGACCATTCCAGCTATAGCCACACGCACTCGACTACGACCGATGTCTGTATGCCTTACCTCAGCTCAAGACTATTTTAGAGCTCAAGGTTCGAAATGGTTAGCTTGCCCATTTTGCTGGTCATTAAATTCTTGGAGAAGCATGATAGCATACCTACAATGTGCCGCATAACTAACGTCATTTTCTCAAGGCGACCAGCCCTTGTTGTTGTTGCCTCTTTCATCATAGTCTTTACTTGCTGTGGGCTCATTTTCGCCTGGGGTGTCTATCAGGCTCTTTATGAACGCCTCGCACGGGAACCAGGGACGCCCTTTACCGGTGCTTCCCCTGCAGAAATTGATCTCATAGGCACGATTGCTGTGTCCCTAATGACGATAGGGGCACCATTCGCCGTTGCCTGGGCGAAGCGCTTCACTCCCAGCACAGTCGCGTTTGTGGGAGGACTTATCTTCGGGCTCTCTCTCGTTCTAGCCAGCTTCGGGACTGCATTATGGCATTTCGAGCTGACCCAGGGATTTCTTAACGGAATCGGCACCTGCTTATCCTATATGGTAGCTGTCACTACCGCGCCAACATGGTTCACTCGTCATCGAGGTCTCGCAATGGGAATCATATTATCCGGCACCGGCGTTGGTGGTCTCGTCTGGGCACCTGCTTTAAATGCTTGCGTGGTCCGCCTTGGCTTTCGAAATACTTTACGTCTGACAGGTGGCCTCTCATTCGCACTTGTCTCGATGGCAAGCGGTGCTATGGCTTGGGAGCCCAGCAACAAAGCACGAATTGATACCGAAAACTCCGCGAGAACGAGCCGCGCCGATGGCATCCTCAAAGTGCCTCTTGTAGATTGGCGTGTGGCCAAATCACGGAAGTTTGTCGCCCAAGCACTGGGCGCCGTCTTCCAATCAGCTGCGTATTACACGCCGGTCTTTTTCTACGCATCGTATGCTCAGACCCTCGGATACGGGACTACAGCAAGCTCCAACTTCATCGCACTGAGCAATGCCTGTAATGCTATCGGCAAGATCATTATCGGTCACCTGGCAGACCGGGTCGGTCGACTGAATGCCCTCTTCATCACGACGCTTCTCAGTGCTATTTCTGCTGTTGCGTTCTGGTTACCTTCCACATGCTTAGGTGAAACAACGCAATCACAAGGCCTTTTTATCACTTTTACGGTTTTCTATGGTGTTTTTGCCAGCGCTTATGTCTCCCTCTTCCCGACGAGTCTCGTTGAGTTGTTCGGTGCCCAGAACTTCGCGTCTGTGAATGGCGTTCTGTACATGGTACGCGGAATGGCTACGATGGTCGGAACTCCTGTTGGTGGTGTATTGGTTCGGAGTACAGCGAGCAATTTAGGGCCTGAGACGTTTAGGAATATGTCACTCCTAGTCAGTGCGCTTCTGTTCGCTGCCACTGCTGCTGTTCTGTGGGTGCGACTCGAGGCCATGGTAGGGCCCAATGGGGGTGTAAGTTGGAAATGGCTACAATGATCTACATCTGCACAAATTTTTTATCCATCCGCCGAGGAGCTTCTCTTATTGGTAACACATATTAATTCAATCTCCTATTTGCATAGTTCCTAATACGTCCTCTAGTCGAGAGTCAGGGGTTAAAAGTAAGAGTCGTTATTTTTTTTTTCTTCAATAGTTTCGCCCAATATATGTCATCTATACATTATGAGAAGCCGGTCTGCCCTAATAGACATGGAAAAAAGATATCCTCGTAATGTTAGGGTTACTAGAAGCCCCTATATATATCCAATTGGACCTCTATGATATGTGTTATCCGTATTTTCTGCATTTTGATATATGAAAGTTTTATCTTCACAAAGTTGAGCCATATCAACCAATTTCCACTTTTGCAGTGCCATATTCCATTATATCTGCTTTGACATGGACGCTATTTATTATCGTGTGTTGTCTATCCTCTATTACAAAGACTAGTGAAAGTCGGGCACTCCTACGCATAAACCTGCGACTGATCTTAAGACTTAAACCCAAACACCGCCAGTTTCAAATGACCACACAACCCACCCTATCAGATATATCCCCCATCTAAACAGCATAGGGCGCAACCTTCAAGCCAAACTTAAGCAAGTCATGTTCCACAATTTCCTCCCGACGCTCGACCATTTCCTCCACGGACCAATTCGCAGACATATACCGCCCATTCATGAATTGCGCCCCTTCACTTGCAAGCCACAAAGCAGTTCCCGCAGCAAGCTCGAACGAGTCCTTTGAAAATCTCAGAAAGAATTCCGGCACGATACCAGTCAAGACAGTCCCTGGATGAAGACTCGTCGCAACGATATTCGGATTCAGACCCGCAATATAGCGCTGCATTGCCGATTGAACCATCTTTGCCAGAGCATAACTATCAGTTCCGGGCATTGCAAGTACGGCAGTAATGCTCGAGATGTTGATAATATGGCCCCTTGCCATGTGTCCCAATAGTTTGGTGAAGTATTGGGTTGTTATGAAGGTTCCCTTAACCATTACCTCCTGAGAATTCCATTTGCGGAATTAGAGCGGGGCTTATTTGATTGATGGTATACGGTGTCTCAGCATTGGATGTAAGGTGCAACTCACAAATTCCTGCCAGATACCTTCTATACCAGCAGAGGTGATCGGCCCACCCCGAGAGAGGCCCGCATTGTTGATCAAGACATCGGCCTTTTCATCTTCCGCCTCAATCTTGTCGAATAGTCGCGCAACACCGGCTTCATTGGTGACGTCGAGGGACTCTATTTGAACCTTTACGGAGGGATTCACCGCCAGAACACGCTGTTTGGTCGCCTCCAGACCACCCTTATCTCGGGCGACGAGCCAGATAGATTTCGCTCCAGCTTTGGCAAATGAGATGGGAAATCCCTACACAAATTTCAGTAAAGAAGGTATACGATGTAATTACCTTGTGAGAGCAACTCACATGAGCGCCTAGGCCTGAACTCGCACCTGTAATCACAACCACCTTTCCCTGCTGCGACAGGGATGGCAAGGTAGGATCAATTGCTGGGTACTGGTCACGATAGAGTTTCTTGGTGAATGCACCAGCGGTCAGGAAGTAATCGTCTGGGAGGCTGTTGATGTCCATGGTGCTTGGAGCTGTCAGGGTAACAAAGTAGAATCAAGAAAGTATATGTATTTCAAATATGCTGTAAGTGTGACTATGGCGAGAAGAAACCCAGCAATCGTATTGATCTTCAACGATCTATATAGTAGAGGCAATTGCGTTCCAAAGTGACCTTGGTATGTGGTCCTGGTATATTCACAGCTACGATGCATTCGTTATTCGGGGGATTCGTAGTTCCGCCCTCCGTTTACGCATCTTGCTTAATGATATTGGCTCGCTCCCTAGCGAAAAGTTTCATTAGAATAAACGTATCACTATGCATGATCTACAAGCAAGCGGAGCCGGCAGTCCAGCGGTCCGATGAATGAGTGGCCGTGTTCGGGGAAGACAGCAGCTGCCGGTGAAGCCGGTGATAAAACGTTATCCCGAGAGGGCTTCAGTCCTAGGTTGATTTCTAATGCTTGGTAATCGAACTTCCCCTTCTCACATCTTCCGGAACGGCTGGTTGATTTGAGTACCTACTGTTCTCGAATTAACCTGATATCAGCCCAGGCGATAGATAATGTAGCGAAAATAAAAAGTCGATCTTGTCTATGAACGATGACGCCAGGGCCTCTCCGCCGAATCTACTTTTGGTCCAGCCATATCTAGACATCTCTAATATCGAAACAGAGACGACCATAGCTTGAACCAATAGAGTCGGGTGCTCGTTTAGATTCCAGACACTCAAAGGAAACCAACGCAAACTCAGTCTTTAAGGGATCACTGGGTATAGAAACTCAAGACATCATAGATACTACTCCAGGTTGGTGGCAAGGTATATAATAGTCTGAGCGATATTCTCGAACCTTTAGGTCTAGATGGCGAGGGTTTGGATTTGCATGGTATGGAGTGATATCTACCCAAACGAAGAATAATGTCAGATAGAGCGGGTGGGTTCTACAATGGTCCCAGTGAAGTGTTCGCAGATGATAGTAGTTTTTCTGATGTATATGCAACATACGATACATTCCACACACAACATTTGAGGTACGCCATGAGCATGGTTCGTGGCCCTTTAATGTTAGATTCTTTATGTACCGGAGGCACACACAATGATAAAAAAACCAGGCTCATCCTTCTAACCTGCTCAGACTTCCTCCAATCTGCAGTGTGTTTTAGTCGCACTTCTACATCTGCTTGGCAGGCTGTAGATTATATGATTCAACTATTTCTCTATCCAAGATTTTTGGATACCTGGCTGTAAGGGTAGAGGTTATACAGCTAAATCTCATGCCCTTTCACAATCTTTCTATCACGATAAATATCTGCCCATCGGGCTTGCACATGTAGTAAAAGCTTCTTGCTCGTCGGAATATACTTAGAACATACTTCCGAGTCACAGGGTCATCCGTAGTTTGGAATCTTCTTACTCGCAATGGGGGATTGTAAACAATTCACGAGATCACCGCGTCACATCTTCCCTACAATCCACGTCCTGTATGCTCTCCACCCTGCTCTGGGCCGGACTATGGTAGCCTCGGCGTGGAACATCGGACTCGTTTTGATGAAGACCGTATAACTGACCAAACAGCTCTGCCTCCATTCGTTCACCTGGTGCTGGGTCTTTCCTAATTCCTCCCATCATATCTGTTCCTGCTGGAAAGTCGAATTCAAACGATGGCCCCCCATCTCCACGCATATTGCACAGCACAGCTTGCTCATAGTGCCACTGTAACAGTCCATCAACCACACTCAACTGATTGCCTGGCTGTCGGCATACAGGGTCAAGGACCGTCCCATGGTACTCCCACGCACCTGGTAGGAAGCCTTGAATTCTGTAACCATCGTTCGGGCTCACGGCGATCGAATAATCGTCCCATAATTGATGAATGTCTTTACGAAGTAGAATTCCATTCTGAGGCGAGGTTATCCCCAGCGAGGTATTGTATTGTGAACAGTTTTAAGGACCCTTGGCTCTGGAAGATACTGTCCAGAGCAAGTGGGAAAATGTGGGCGGCATGATAGCTAGTTCATCTGTCCACGTGTGCTTCGAGGTTGATTTGGCCAGTTATGACACACCGGCCATCTCGCTGTCTGACCTGATCGCGGAAGGTCTTCCTTTCCGTCTCGTCTGGTACTGAGAGAGGACGCACGTAGTAAGGCTCATCACTCGTGAGTATTTGGGCCCCTCGCTCGTTTGGGTTAAGAATGCAAAGGCCATGTGCAATAGATTTGTTGCTAGCTTCCAGGGGTACCATTGAGTCGTGGAACCGAGTCTGAAATCCGCCTGGCGATGAAAACACAACATCTAACATATCCAGAAACTGTGCGGCTGTAAGGTTTTCTGAGACACATAGACCCCCTTGAGTTCTACCGGGTGCAGATGAGAACTCGATCAAGATGTTCCGCATAGGAGACCGCGCTGGAACTGCCTCGGACATTGCATTCACTTTCGGATTGACTATGGGTGAATTATAGCTATGATTAGGCAAGTCACTTAGTGATGAAGCCCAACGAGATGATAACATAATACCATCAGTGAGGCAAATATTACACCTACCATTGAGCGAGCACATGACCAAAACCCAACCCTAGGCTGTGGAAAGTCTAGACCGCCCCATCGTGTATTCTAATGTTCCAGAGGATGACGCTGCGAGGCAAAGATTTCTCTAGTAGGAAGCCGTAAAAACTGATTTATTTGATCATATACCTCATAAAGAATTTGCGCTTATCATGGGTCATACCACGGCAGCTCTCGCATGCTAAGGATCAAGATTCGACCTCATTAAACCCGAATAAACTGAAGTATCCGCGATCAGGCCATAGATCGTATAACCCGAAAGACAAATTATTTGACCTATTCAACAAGCTTCATAACAAAATCTGACCCCATTTCACTGTTCGAATCTAGAATACCTGTGAGCTTTTCATTCTCTGCCAATGCCCGTGCTTCACAAGCAGCATAGTGAATGACCAAATCCCGGATTGGAGATTTCTGGGAGAATTCATATCGCCCAGTATGCGCGTACGTAAAGTCAAGAAGGTCAAGGATCTGGGACACGTTGTTGCGGTTCACTGAAAAGTTGCAGAGGTCTCGGTGAATAGATGTCAGACATTGCTGGCGCAGAGGCTCAATCCGAAATCTTGTTGCAAAGATATATACCTTCACATGGAAGACAAGGTCCGGATTGGTGCTGAGCGATGCAGGTTGTCCAGGGAATTCCAGTGCGCGGAATCTCTCCCACAGCTTTCCATAAGGAGAAATGGGAGGAACCTCGACTGACCGAGTGGTTGTAATTGCTTCTCTCCACTTATTATTGTTGTTTGTTTCAGGGACAGGCACGGATTTCGTTTCGGGTAATTCAGGTTCAGACTCTTCGACCGGGACAGGCTCTTCGACCGGGACAGGCTCTTCGACCGGGACAGGCTCCTTGGGTAAAGGCACAGACACCGGAAGTGGTAAGACAAGGTCTTTGCCAGGAATAACAGGTAGCTTTTTTTTTATCATTTGTTTTCTTCTCTTCATTTTGGTCCCCTTGGGGAGTCTGTCCCAATTTTTGTATAGTGGGTGATTAGGCAATTGAGCAATTTGAATCCCCGGTGTGGTCGCTTGTTCTGGCTCTGGACACGATTCAGGCTCTAGCGCTAATACTGAAACAGCATCTTCAGCCTCAAACTCAGAACCAGGCGTCGAAATAGTCTCTGAACCCGTGCGAGATCGAGTGCCACCAGCAGCCTGCGTTTCTAAACTAAGCCCATCCTCATTATGTTCAGTCGAGGTAACGTCAGGAGTCACGTAGGCACCAGTGTACACATATTCACAGAACCCAATGAATGTGTCTGCCTCTACATCTTCAAGAACCGTAACTTCGGATGGAGAAGCCTTCATAGAATCATCGCAAATGTGCGTGTACAAGCTTTCCGAGATATTTTGCACCGCGGCAGTATGGATCGTCAAGCGAGTATGATCCTTGCCGACAAGCAAGGTGCGAGGCGACGAACGGATAATCCTGATATTATGTGATTAGTGGATTCCAGTGACAGGTAGGTCTGGTATTCGTACCTCTTGTAATCAGCCATGGTGTAGCTTATAGGGCTTTGTTGCTTTGGTGTGTCTAGATGTACTATGGTCAAAAGCACTTGTCTTGATGGGTCTAGTTTCTTCCAAGGTGGTTTTTATACTATCAAAGTGCGAAGATGGTAGAGGGCTCGACAATGGCTAAATAGGCTATTAACTACGGTATGAGGACAGAGTTGGTGTGTTGATCAGTCATGAGGGGCAAGCTGCATGCAAGATGTGCTCGTTAAGCAACACTTGACTACGTTATGATCGAGCCAACACGAGTCAATTCAGCCACAAGCGGAGGAACTAACTTATCAGCTGGTAAACATTCTACGAAAGGCATCTCACGTACGAGTCAGGGGCAAGGCTGCAGTGCCATGTAACCCATGATCTCTGTGAGTCAGCCTCGCCAGCTCATCGTGCAGGCGAGTACTGACTCCGCACGGCCTCTCTCAATCAGGCTTCAGAGCGTCTACAAATCCAAATAAATCGCATGTTGTAATTATTACTTACATAGAAAGTGAAGGATTAACCTGTGAGGGGCTCACGACCAGTAAGTGTGGTCAACTTAGGTCGAACATCGTCCGACAACCCCACAAGCACACACTAGAGCAGTGGCTACCTAGTATTAGTTCATTATTGTTGCTAATAGCGCGTCTCCAAAATCAAAGGGGCATTCATTAAAAATGGGTATATCTAAATCAAATAATAACTCCTGGAATGAGAATAAAGGAGGGCTGCAATGATACTCCACTTCATCACATAAAGACCACATAGCATCAAGAGGCTTGGTGGTATTTTCTCCGATGGGTCAACCCTTTTCTGCTGGGTACAAGGGACTGGGGATAGGGACAAGTGTGAACCGGCTATAAGCTGAACAAGACGATCGGTTCAATGGGCGGTTGCATAATTGGGTGGCCTCAGATATGTATCGTCATATCTTGGAAGATTATCATCCACATAGAATTCGCTTAGCGAAATACTGTCACCACTGACAAAATCCCGAACAGAAAGAGGGAAGATAGCGTTGAAGGCCTTCATCCGGGGTCTGCGATCTACAAGTCTTCCGGTTGCCTCGTCAAAGGTATCCTGGCCCGTAACAACTTCCAGTAACAGATTGTGCTCGACTATGACACCGGTAGTTTCGGTGGGACTGCAATTGCAGGCCTTTTCCTGGTGATGACATAGATATGAAGATAAATCTATCCCATCTGCTGCCTTCGCTTTTGTTGGGATGTTGACGTCGAACGGGATCTCAATCGTATGGTCGCCTCCTTGTAATCCTCCAGTTGCTATCCAGTGGCCTTTTTGCTTTCCCTCGCATAGTCGCCGTACACGCTGCTCTTTGCAGGCTGTTGTTACGGCTTCTCTTTGCGGGTTACCGCCCCTCGAGATGGAGATGTACTTGACGGTCTCTTCCACCCTCCACTTCAACTCTTTACCCACCACATACTTCACTTCCATGTCTCGCGCTCCCTTTGCAATGGTTGAGTGGGCTACCCATTCTAATGAGTACGCTACTTTCATCTCCTCGGGCGAGTCTGAGTATAGTTGATTCGGTATTAGGGATAGTTCGGTCAGTACCTTTTCGCCGGGATACTGTCGGATATGCCGGATTTGTTCAGAGACTACACGGCGAGACACCTTTATTTGCTGCGTGTCCTTCAGTATCCTCGCGTTGGCTATCGTTGACGGTGTTACCGACGCAGTGATGGCATAAGACACGCTTCCTAGGATCGTCTCTGTTGTCGGCGGGATATTGCTCGGAATAGGGAGGTAGAAATTGAATTTCAGCCATGTTTCATTCTCGCCCTCTTTGGGGTCCATCTCATCAGGTGCATGGCAGAGGTCATATTGTACCAGTGTCTCAACGTTGGGCTCCAGTGGTGGGGTCGCGTGGGGAGAGTTCTGAATTCTTGATGATTTGTGCTTCTGGTTGCGTTTGAAGAAAAAACTATAGCTCTTATTGTTGCTGGGAACAGCGATATCACAAGGTTTAGGTGTCACTGATCGCGTGAAACTAATTTCAAACTTGGGGAAATTCTCGGTGGAAGATCTCAAGCTTGAGGAGGGAACTGCGATGACAAGGGAGCCAGTGATCGGAGGAGCATGGCTCTCACCCCCGGACTCCAGCAGAGTATGGGTGCTTGGCACAGTCAGTTGTAAGCCCCAGGCTTCCATAGCATCTCATCGAGGTGGTGGTGAAATACTTTTCGAGGAGGATTGAAAGATCGGGAAGGGAACCCGGGGAGAAGCTTACACTATGTACTAATAGCAAATTAATAGCGAACCTCTGGATATAAAGGTCTGTGCACATCAAGAGTGAAAGAGCTTCTATTGGTATGACCGGTTTCCTGCCCTAACTGCACTGTTCTTAATGGTTAATCTTCCCACTCCACGCGTACGTCTCTGGACCTCGTCGGGATCGGTGGAGACATGCCAAGTGTCCAAACAGGAAGCCAAGCAGGAATTTTTACCTTTTGCGTGATGGTTGGATCCACAAGCTGTCAAGCCTTCCGACGGGCTTCTCATCGGCAAAACTGCTTGTCTTTGGGTGAGCCATGCAGATTTTGTAAGACCTCGAGCTTAACAGGTCTTGGATTATCGAACCGATTCCATGGACATCAGTGATACACTGGAAAACCGTGTCCAATCTCACTATATCCATGCCAGAATTGCTTGGCTTCATCCGAAATTAGATAAGCAGGGTTTGTAAGCGTATATTGGATCGTCAGAAGTGCATCTTTTTGCCCCTCGGACTCTCTCAACTTCCAGCGGACGATCGGTTCTTACCCATCCACCGCGGCTCCCTTCGTCTCGTCGTTGAGCTTGATATCAGTTACCGGTTATGGCCACCAAAGCCCCATCGACGAACGTTGCGTCCAAAGGTAAAATGATGAGCCCCCAAGGAAACGTATTTCCCAGCACGTCTCACCAACCAATGATATGGCAAGGTAGACTGTCCGAAATGTAAATCGCGTCGAATTCAATGTGATAGAACCTTACCCAGTTGCCGAAAGTGCTTGCGGCGAAACTATGAATGTCCCGGTTATGGATTAATTCTCCGATGGAAACCAGGTGTCACCAGTAGAGGGAGACCGGCAGGAAGAGAGGGACTTGTTGACGGCGACCCCAGAAGACCATTCCATGGACCAACTGATCGGACCTTACATGAGGTTATGTCTCTGACAGCGGTAGACCGTGGACTCAACTCCCCACTTGATAGCCTCTCTTGTCAATTGTTGCACCACTTCAACCAAAACATTGCGACGAAGCTCGCTTGGGTCGACGGCCCAGAAAACCCATGGCGACAGATTATACTCCCCCTCTCACATGCCTCGCCGATCGTTCGCTACTCCTTGCTGGCCATGTCATCGGAAGATCTCACACATAAATATACTATCGACCGGCCTTATTTCCATCAACTGAAAGCTCAGTCGCTATTTTACCGGGACAAAGTCTTGTCCCTTTTACCACAACATCTAGAACGTCTCTTGAGAGCCCCCATTTCGTTTGATTGTGCCAACCAGGCCCGGTTCGTTCTCGCAACGGTTCTCCTTCTCTACAATCTAGAACTACTGTCGGCAAAGGCGACGCAATGGCGACTACACATCCAAGGTGCTCGGGCGATCATACAATGGAAGCTTCAGGCTATTGGACTCCACCGACCTCCTGACGTCGCGGATAATTTCCTTCGTTACGAATACTACTTCACCGCTGTCTTCAACGGCTTGACTACGTTTGATGCAACCTACGATGTCATTGACGATATCCCAATCAACGACAAAATCGCCGTCTTTGGTGACTTTGTCCGGATCATGCACTGCGTGACCCGAGCCGAGCGAATCAACTCCAGTGGCAGTTCCAATACCGAAACGATCCGGGTAGAAGATGTCGTGGGCGAAATAGGAACGGCGAGAGACCGAGCGCTCCAACTCAATCAGATCATGCGGTTCCATTATCCCGACGCGCGGCATGATTTCGAACACCTAACGCACATGTATTACCATGCAAGCTTGATCTACAGTCACCGCGTGCTCTCCGATCCCGCTGCGTCCAAGGACCTCATTCGGGCTTCTCGAGATGCTATTCTCGATCACTTATCGCATCTCAAGGACTTGGCATATTTCGCCCACGACCTGGTGTGGCCACTCTTTGTGTGTGGGACAGAGTGCCGGGGGTTCTCGGAGAAGCAGGATACCATCGAACGGGCACTTTTGGGGGTGATTCGACTCAGCGGTAGTCTTGATCGACGGCGAGTCTTGTCATTCTTGAGGATGTTTTGGCAGCTGGACTGCGAAGATGGTGAGGTGAGTTGGATTGAGGTGGCGAGAGGTCGACCGGCAGACTGTAATTTTATGATTATATGAAATGAAGTATGTTCATTGTTAGGTAACTGAATACTACCAACCCCTCATTCAGGTAAGATTTAATCCCAACGTGGACGGCCGCTTCCGAGATAAGATTGGCGCCTAATTCTTATGCATTCCACAAACCTTCCTCTTTCAGTAGGCGGTGTCCTAATTAGTTGCGGTGGTGGCAGTGCTGTGTAACGTGAGTCGCCACTCAGCGTTAGCCTAAAGTCTATTTGTGCCACCCAATTCCCCTTTCGAGTGTAGTGCAAGACCCACTGACATTCTGGGGTGGTGAAACTTGGACGTTGCAAGGAAAATTAAAATTGAAAGGGAGGATTCGATTCGTATTCCCTCGTCTGTTCCTCCCAAAAGAGCCACTCAGCGATCATCCATCCGTTAGTAATAATTCCTATTAATCTTCCTAACCTCGGACTAGCCTTCTTTTATCACCCTTGTTTCCTTCTTTTTCTTTTCTAAAACATTTTCCGACATTCCTCCAGCACGTGCTCTCTTTTTTTTTTCCCTTTTCCCTTTTTTTTTTCTTTTTCCGATCATCCCTAGAAGAAGAAACGACAAAATCGCAGCCTTTATGCGATTGATACGTAGCGCCTCATTACGCCCAGCGCACCTAAATCGTTTATTGACTTCTAACCGACATCGACGTTAAGGAGTCCCCCCCACCATACTAGCCATCCATCATGGAGCCTCCCAGGCTGGACAAGATCACGGCAGATTCCAACCTCGAAGCTCTTGGATACACGCCAGAACTGTCTCGCAATCGATCAACATGGCAGGTAGTCTTCATGGTTTTCATTCTGGCCTCGGTGCCCTACGGTTTATCGACGACGATGTTATACTCCATTGCGGGAGGTGGCTCGGCCAATATGATCTGGGGTTGGATCTTGGTATCCCTGATCATGTTGTGTGTCGCCGCATCGCTCGCTGAGGTCACATCCGTCTATCCCACTGCCGGTGGTGTTTACTATCAAACCTTTGCCCTGTCCCCGGTTAAGTATCGCCGCGTTGCAGCCTGGATCTGCGGCTGGGCCTTCATTGCCGGCAATATCACCATCACCTTGGCCGTCAACTTCGCCACGGCCCTCTTTCTGATCGAGAGTCTCAACGTGTTTACCGACGCTGCCGGAGTTGGTATCACAGAGAACTTCTCGGCCTATCAGACCTATCTGATCTTTCTAGGCATCACGCTCATCTGCCATATTATTCCTGCCTTTGGGAATAAGTGGCTAACACACCTGGAGGTATATCAAGCTATCATCACAGCGCATACTTGACCTTTTTTTTTTTTTTTTCTAGACCCCCCCGTGCCCATGTCACTAATCTCACTTTGTATATTCGACCTATAGACTTTTGCCATTTTCTGGACCCTGGTAGGCGTGACTGCCATTATTATCACCATTCTGGTCGTCGCCAGTAACGGGAGACACTCTGCAAAATATGTCTTCACCGATTTCTCCCCTCAATCCGGCTGGCCAGAAGGTTGGTCCTTCTGTATCGGTTTACTTCAAGCTGCCTACGCGCTCTCGGCAACCGGCATGATCACCTCGTAGGCCACTACCATCATTTATGCCCGTCGCGAAAAAACCCCCCAAAAAACCCAAACTAACGTGTGTGTGTCTCCCGAAAATCAGCATGTGTGAAGAAGTCCGCGCGCCAGCCATCCAAGTTCCCAAAGCAATCGTCGGAGGCCTCACCCTGAACGCCCTGGCCGGTCTCGCCTTTTTGATCCCCATCGCGTTTGTGCTCCCCGATATCTCCTACTTGGCGAATCTCCCATCCGGTCAACCCGTTCCGCCCATTTTCAAATCCGCCACCGGCAACTCCGCCGGAGCCTTCTGCCTGCTCATCCCGTTGTTGATTCTCGGAATCATCTGTGGTGTAGGTTGTGTAACTGCGGCATCCCGAAGCGTCTGGGCCTTTGCCCGTGATGGAGCCATCCCCGGCTCCAAGTGGTTCAAGAAGGTTGAACCCCGTCTCGACAACATCCCCCTGAACGCGATGCTCCTCGGTATGGTAATCGAACTCCTGCTCGGTCTCATCTACTTCGGCTCCACCGCCGCGTATAACGCCTTCTCCGGTGTCGGCGTCATGTTCTTAACCCTTAGCTACGCATGCCCAATCGCGGTCTCGCTCCTTCTCCGTAAGCGACAGGATATTAAAAACTGCAGCTTCAACCTTGGACCACTCGGTCTGTTCTGTAATATCGTCTGTCTTGGTAAGTGGACTTCGGTCCTGCCCTACCAAACCCTGGTCCCCGCATCCACAGACGGATTCTAACATCTCCCGATGTTCAATTTAGCATGGACTTGTCTTGCCATCCCGCTCTTCTCCATGCCGACCTTCATGGCCGTCACACAAGAAACTATGAACTACGCCTCGGTTGTGTTTGTTGGTTTCTTCATCATCTCTGCTGTGTGGTACTGGGTCTGGGGTTACCAGAATTATGCCGGTCCACCTACTGAAGAGGGTATGGAGGGTACCCATACTGACTAGTGAATGGGCACCACGTTGTTGCAAATTTTGCCCTGGCTGAGACGGACCGTGGAGTGCTTGGAATGACGTCTTCATCCGGGTATGTATAGTCAATTTAAATGTATATCAATATAAACGGCCAGATAAGCATTATTTTCTGCATGTGACTTCCGCTGCATCACCACCATGACTTCGGGACCCCCTCATCTACTCATCAGCTTCCGAGTAGCTGTTAACCCTTCCTATTTATGATATCTCTTGTAGCACAATCATGCCACGTAGGTTGCTGACTAATCCCGAGTCTTTGATCTACAACCATAACATGGGATCAAGGTCTATATCAACCCGAAAACCTCATCCGTCCCTAGCGTTTTCCCTTCCTTGCAGTCTTCTACTGCTTCGCCTTCCATTTTCCCATGGACGTAGCATTCGCCGATTACTTTGTAGCATTTCGGATCCCTTGTGGACTGTCTGAGGATGACCGGTACACTACACCCATATAGGATGCAAATGAAGTCCCCCAGCGTAGTAGCTTCTGGGCACAAACCGAATAAGTCATTCTCGGTCCACTGTCGTTTCCCTCCTTCAAAGCTAGGTTCTTCTTCAGAGCCTGATACCTCGTTGTCTCTTTCCGTTTGGCCTGAAGGGCTATAAGCGCTATCAGTGTGTGGAGCTTTCATTAAGGCCCTAAAGAATCTCCGATTCCATGTGACGTTTCGGATACGTGTGAGATATCCACGGACCATGTCCGAGTGTCCGTGTAAAAGTTGGTCGATGTTGAAGTCCCCATTATAAAATGTATCAGCAATCTCCAAGCACCGCAAGCATGCTCTTTGATACCATGTAGGTGGAACCTGCCCCTCGGAATCTCTATCTGCTATCAACGTACGCCAGATATGATCTGGCACTTCTTCAGGGCTTTCATTAACACCTGCCCAGCCACCAATATCCAACAGCGAGCTTCGTGAGATGAGCCCCGACGCATTCGCTAACGAGACGGCCTCCACCTTAGCTAATTTAAAGCCTTTGACAGAGAGCATGGAAGACATATGTCGAACCACTTTTGCGTCGGATGCATCGGCTTCCGTCTTACGTTTCTTTCGAGGTGGGGCGGTCTTTGTTGAAGTATCTGTGAATCTTATGCCCCTGGAAGCCTTATAAAGCGGAGAGCCAACCGGACCCAGGAGGCCTTCTCCATTCTTACGGCCATTGTAGACTTCCGTCGGCTCCCCGAACTCGGAGTCCCGTAGCAGTCGGATCCAGGATGGCAATCTACCCTTCCCCGTTCGGGGCATTGCCCATGGGCGGCAGATGATGTCAAGCGACCCAGATGAAAGAATGCAGTACTTGACAAAGTTTCTATAGACTTCAACTTCGTCCAACTTATAGTCGATGGCGAGCTTGTAAGCTTTATTGTTGTCGTCGCCCTCTTGTCCAGCGTCATAGGAAACAGGGTCATAAGTGTCACTGGCGATCGAGACTAAGCTATACACGATGTCGCGCAGTTTACTAGCGTCGAATGTGCTTAAAGAAGTCACCAAGTACTCGATCCCTTTGAGGGGTTTTCGAGCAACACCTTTGGCGTCTCTCTGAAAAAGCCTGGTAGTGGCCTGTAGCAGCTTGTTGGCTCCAAATGACTGGACTTCGCCAAGTGTTTGAACTCCCTCCCTCCAGCCCTTGAATAGTCCTTTAATCTTTTCTTGATACGTAACCAAGATTGACACTGCATCTGCGAACTCCGTCCATGGAACCGCCATTTCACCACAGTAGACCGATGCCTCTTTGGCGAGCGAGATTTCTTGAACAACCCAGCGCCGAGAGAACCAGCGATCTCTCATAAGTTCAGCGAGCGCATACCAATTCTCTGCATGGCGCTCATCGTTTACCGCTCTTTCCAGAAATGCAAAGTCCATTATTTTCGGGATAAACCTCATTGCGCGATTACTTCTTTTATCGCTGTCAGCTTCCCCTAGCCAGACACAAACATAGTTTGCCATGCGATACACCTTCGCCATTTGAAGAAGCTGTTGTGTTTTCTCCTCTTCATTTTTCTGATTGATACAGATGGCATCGACCCATAGAGTTATAGACTCGTCATCCCTCCGTAGACGAAGTAAAGCGCGCTTGAGATTTTCTCCAATCCTGAATCCTTTACATTGCTGTATCAGATCTTCCCACCGGTCGTCCTGCCATTGCATTCGCCTATCAAATGGGACATCGGGTGGAAGAGCATACAGCCAGCTCGAATACAAATCCGTACCCCAACAATATGAGAGCGCCGCATAAACAGGACTGGAAGTTTCTTCAAGCGACTCGATGTTGAGTCTGCAGACCAGAGGGTCGCTGTCATTTGCTGCAGGGAAAACAACAAGAGTCCTAATTTGACCTTGCTCAAGTGTAGGAGATTCGTGGTAGATATCTTCCGACGGAATCCCAGCACATTCTCGTTTCGCCTCAGATATCATTTCTCCAGCTTGTCTTTGTTCTAGTCCGTTTAACAACTCATCCGATATTGTCTTCCATACTAGCCCGTATGATGCCCTGGGCCACTCGGAAAACACGTCACTGAGCATGTCTATGGGTAGTTGTACGGGTGATTGTACAGGTGATTGCGTGGGTGACTGCGTGGGTGACAGCAAGGCTGATTTCTTGAGCACACCCCTAAGCAAATCCATGGGTATTTCTGTGAGCAATTCCATGAAATATCGCGGGACGGTCATCTCGATTTGTTCCATCTGCTTACTAGTACACGCATTAGCTTTGGCCCGGATCCCGATAGGACACTTGCCGGGTAAATAAAGCCTTCATGTTGGCCGTCCCTCGGTAACCTAGCTGCTCCAGAACTTACACTGCCTCTGGGTCCATTTTGCGCACTCTTTGCTCAAGCTTATTCCATTCTTTTAGGTCCTGTTGAAATTCCTTAAAAATTATCATCTTTCTCTGTTCCGAAGCATAGTCACTGGGGCTCCTAAATGTTAAGCGGCCAGGACGCAGTCTGGTCTTGCATGGTTGGTGTGGAAGATGTGTACTCGGGTCGTCTGGGATACTCGAGATTGCCTCAAGAAAATCTTGTTCGGAAGAAAAGTCATATGCACTTATCTCATCATCCTCGTCCGTTGGTAAAATAGAATCATCACTGGAATCAGAAGAACTTGAAGAATCAAGGTCGGGATCGGCGAAATTCCATCGCGGCATATTTTCAACAGCCTTGTTTTGATTTCTTCTAAATCCCCACGGTTGTGACACGATGGAGTAGTAAAACATCTGGGGTGCTTAGGAAGTTCATCTATAATAGGGAACAAAAGTACGAGGGGTAAGCACGAAGGAAAATATGCACAAGGACTGCGCCGCATCCTAAAAAGGTCGTAGAACTTATCCAATTGAATTGTACAAGGCTCAGGCGCAAATCTTGTACTGAAGTGTACTAACACTTACTGTACACTGCATAAATGAGATCCATAGGTTTTCTACAGAAGATACATCTCGACAGGGCTCTTCAGCGTGGAAACTAGTTTATAGTCTGACATACGGGAAGAGATACTATAAACTCTGCACCAAGCAGCTGGGGATACTTATCAAGTATGTAGAGAATAGCAGGATATTATGATCTCGTGAAGATATATCCAAGATGATCCCAATAATAGATCTACAAAGTAGAAAGGCAGGCGACTTGAAAGGTGTCTTTGTCCCTAAAAGAGGAGTATCCAATTTAGAGCGTGTCAGCACACCAATGCAATTCATATTGCGTGTATACGGGCAAAAGCTTTTGGACATTATTTTATTTTTACTACAGTTCCCGACATGAGGAAAGGCCCATTATACTTGGTGACAGGCAAGATGGCACATTTGGGTCTAGAAAATATGTTGGTCTGTTCGACCTGTAGACATTATAAGCCCTGTGCTGAGTTAGGAGGTCTGGACATATGCCGCACTATATAGTTCATCACATGTCTATCAGAACAATATCATGCACGTTCTGAGCCTTACCCACAAACTTACAGGATCTAATGCATTGTATCATCCATGCCATCATTATGTACTAGTATTGATATTAAGAACAAAAAGAATTAACACACTAGGACCTACATTAACCTGCTGACCGGCACCTGGACTAAGGCGGGGATAAGCTGATAACCCTAACTCCGAAACCGTATCTACCTTGGCATTCCCGGTGGGAGAACGGAATAGTGTTCCGACCTTGAGGGCTAGAAGAAGACATTATGATATCAAAGGAATACGAAAAGTACATTCATTCAGAGTTCCTGTCCGTCTATATAATTGACACTATACTGTGGTTCATGTGGTTCCGGCTTCGGATTGATATCGGGGGTAGAAGTTCATTCAGACTGAGACTTTCTTCTTTGCTCACAACCAGCAGTCTGACTTTACAAGGTAAGATTGCGCTCGGGTGGGGTGTCATCTAGTCAGACCAGTGTACTCCGTACAATGCACTCCTAACCCCCGATATACTTCACCAGTCCCTATAAGATTAACCAGATTAACTAGAGTGGCTAAGTACCCCCTTACATAGAGTATTAGTGACACTGATTTGAGTTACATAACCCCATTCACTAAATCTAGATTCAAAGTAACACCACCAGACTATAATACCCACATGGATCGATGCTGCACTGCTGATCGAACCGTAATCGGGATCATCGGATGTTAGTGGGTACGTATAACAATATATCCTTAGCCTTGGTTGAGAACAACGCTATCGTTTGTTGTATCTGAAAGATATACCACTAGTAGGTCCTAGTTAAAATGGATTGGTAATACCGAAAGGAGGCCTGGAGGAACCTTCTACTGGAAATTATATATTTTTTACTCCATGTATGTGCGGGGTCGAGAGTTTGATTACCGGATATATTATACTAGGTGTATTACTAGATTTACATGGTTTGATGTGGATTCTTGCAGGGGGAGCATGGCCATAATGCATTGTTGGATGGTTAAGGATATTAATTATTGTATTCATAGATCTGGATCAGAAGTTTGAGTGTTACGGGGCTTTTCGGTATATTATCCCCCCGAGATGAATCTCGGGGTGGATTGACCCGAGGATTATGACCCCGCGGCATGGAAATGCTAACAACGAGCGAATTATGGAGACGACCTTTCATTAGCTTCGGTTCATGCACTGCCGACAAAGCGGCATGAATTCAGTTTATGCTCGGTTCTGGAAAATCTTAGGATAATTTTTCAGTTGTCTATTCTATGTTATTGGGGTTTATCTTGACTAGTCCAGGCCAATAGTATACCATAATTACGGTCCAAAAAACGTGTAGTGGGTAGTCACAATTTCATCGTGAATTCATATCCTATGTTTACATGAAATGGCAAAGATCAAAAGGCATCGCCAAAATGGAACTTGTAAATTATTTCATTATTTCATCATAAATTTCATTTAAGCAAAGAGAGCATCACCCAGGCGGTAGTGCACAGTCTTGACCTGGGTGTAGTTCTCGAGGGCGTAGGAGCCCAGTTCACGGCCAATACCCGACTCCTTGAAGCCACCGAAGGGTGCCTGGTAGTTGATCATGTTGTAGCAGTTGATCCAGACGGTTCCAGCTCGGAGAGCGTTGGAGACGGTGATGGCAGTGTTGACGTTCTTGGTGTGGACGGCGGCAGCAAGACCGTATGAAGTGCTGTTACCGATCTTGATGGCCTCATCAATATCCTTGAACTTCTGAACGGTGACGACGGGGCCGAAGATCTCCTCCTTGGCGATCTTCATGTCGCTGTGGACATCGGCGAAGACAGTAGGCTGGATGAAGTAACCCTCGGTTCCGTGACGCTCACCACCGGTGACAAGGGTAGCACCCTCCTGCTTGCCGTGGTTGATGTACTCCATGATGCGGTCGAACTGCAGCTGCGAAACCTGAGGACCCTGGAAGGTGTCGGCAGTGAAGGGGTTGCCGAGCTTGTTGGCGGCGGCGCGCTCCTTGAAGCGGGCAACGAACTTGTCGTGGATGCCTTCCTGGACCAGGATACGGGAACCAGCGCAGCAGCACTGGCCGTGGTTGAAGAAGATACCGAAGTTGGCCCACGAGATGGCGTTGTCGATGTCAGCGTCGTCGAAGACAATGTTAGGGGACTTGCCACCCAGCTCAAGAGTGACCTTCTTCAGGTTGCTCTTGGCGGCAGCCTGGAGAATCATACGACCAACCAGGGTCGAACCAGTGAAGGCAATCTTGTCGATATCCATGTGGCTGGAGATAGCAGCACCGGCGACACGGCCGAAGCCAGAGAGGATGTTAACCACACCAGCGGGGAAGCCAGCTTCCTTGATGAGCTTGGCGGCATAGAGACCAGACAGAGGGGTCTGCTCAGCGGTCTTGAGGACAACGACGTTACCGGCAGCGACGGCAGGTCCAATCTTCCAGGACCACATCAGAAGAGGGAAGTTCCAGGGGATAATCTGACCACAGACACCAATGGGCTCGTGGCGGGTGTAGGTAAGAGACTCAGGGTTGGTATCAATGGTCTGGCCGTGAATCTTATCGGCCCAGCCACCGTAGTAGCGAAGGCAGCCGGCGGCGCCAGCAACGTCGACCTTAGCCATGGTGAAGGCCTTGCCGTTGTCAAGGGATTCAATAGCAGCCAGGATGTCGCTATCACGCTCGAAGAGGTCGGCCAGCTTGGTGAGCAGGCGGCCACGTTCGGTGGGAGTCACCTTCCTCCACTCGCCCTCGAAGGCAGCACGGGCCGCCTTGACAGCATCTTCGACATCATTCTCGTCCGCCTCCTGGACGGCTACAATCGGCTTCTCGTTGGTGGGGTTGATGGTCTCGAAAGTGCGGCCACTCTTAGCCTTAACGAACTCATTGTTGATGAACCTACGCAGCAACCATATGTCAGCAAAAAGACCCCAACAAACAGCGGGCATAGCGGGGAGAGCGGGATAACATACAGGCCCAAAGGCTGCTCGTATTTGGCCGTGGGAGTCTCGATGGTGGTGAAAAGGTCAGCCATGTTGAGGGAGGATATGAAGAAACAAGAAATGGGGTATCACTAGGGAGGAGTGGTGTTGGTATAGAAGGGGATGTTAAGAGGAGGGGAGATGAGGAGAAGAAGTAACGGTGCCAGGCAAAGGAGGGGGGGGAAATCCCAAGGTATTAATACTTTTTAATTGCAGTGCGAATCGCACAGGACCGAATAGGTAAGGAGGGGGAAAGGTGGGAAGGCAACCTAGAAAAAGGGAATTACAAAAATTAAAAAAAACAAAAAAATAAAAATAAAAAAAGAAAAAAGAGGAGGGGGAAATAGTCAACCATTGACTGGAGAAAGCTCAAGTGATAACACCGAAGAGGAGAGGAGAAAAGTACTCGATTACTTCCCAAGTTAGCGTTGGCCCGTAATTTTACCGGTCAGGTTCAGTAATCCGACTGCAATCAGGGGTCCCAATTGGCTGAGGTGCCAGGGCCCGAGGCAGTATTGAAGACCGGGAGTCCACCATTACCCCACCGTAGCTGTCTTTCCAGACGATCGTGCGGGGTTCCTCAAGCCAGTCAGCGCTTATCCCCGGCCTCTTCGATCCACTTTCGGTCTCTGGAAATTTGGCACCCTATCCGTTTTGATACAACGTCTTCGTGTTAGTCTGACCCTCCCAGCCATGGATTTCCACCAGCTCTGACGCAGCAAGAGGACTACTTCCGCCCTCCGTTCCCAGATCATCTGCCCCTCCC